GCAGTGTTGCTGCAGTGAGAGAGCAAAAGAAGAGGGCCGTTGGAGAAGAAGACGCAACAGACGCAGCAATCAGCCAGCCTGCCGGCAGCTTATCGGACCTGCTAACGAGACAAGAGAAAGAGACGGGAGAGTGATCGCTTTTGTCCCTGCCGCCATCCTTTTCATTGTCTCTGCTGCTGCTGCTGCTCATCTGGTCATTACTCTGACCCTTCCTCTCCTCTCTTGAACTCAGACCTCTCTTTACAAGGTATATTTCTGATTTTCAACGACCCTTCCGCTCTACGATTAATATTCCACAACCACAAGACTCTTGCTGGTGATTGGGCTGCTACACGAACGAGCGGCGACACGAACAGAGCAGTCCTTGTCTGTTTGCCCTGCCGGAGAGTCCCAGCTCCAACAACTCGCGCGGTCTTTCTCTCTCGTTTTCTCCAGTCTCCATTCCCGCAATTACTATTCTTTTGCCCTCCTCCTCCTCCCGAACACCCCCGGCGCAATCCACTCAAATTCAGCGCCGACCACCAAAAGCACCCGGCATCGAGCACCAACACCCCCTCCCCTGTTCTTCCTTACCGGTCACTGTTACGGTCTGCGAATACCACCATCTGCCCTGCCCGCCTTACCTTGCTTGCCTCGCACCCGCTTGCTTGCTGGCTTGCTTGCTGGCTTGCTTCCTTGGCTAGCTGCTTGCTTGCTTGCCTCAACTGCTTGCTCCTGCGACCTGCGCGCATTCTACCATCCTCCCTCCTCTGCGACCAACTGCTCCAGGCCCAGTGCTGCTGTTTATGCTGGCTTGTTGTTGCTGCTGCTGCTGCGCGGTACGTACTGGCGCCGCCGTCCAAGTACCTACCTACACACACACAACGGACAACAACGGGACGGTGGACAGGACAAGACGGGACAGGCGCGGTACCTCGCTCTACTTTCCGGTGGACGGGCATGCTAAATTAAAAAAACATCCCCCTTCCCCTCCCCTTCTCCCCCCTTCAAAATCCTTTCCCCCCCGGTGCTCCCCTCCACCGACACACCCCCTCCCCTCCCAAATTCCTCCCCCCCTCCCACCCTTGACGTCTCCCTACAGCAAACCTAGACGCACCCGCCGACAGAGAGAGAAGGAGGAGGATACACTGGCCACCAAAGAACAGCAACGTCGCAGTGGTCAAAGTCACACCCAATCTTCCTCCTCCACCAAATAAAAAAAACCACTCTCTCGATTCGAGGCCCCCGTCCACTCAGACTGGAGCTCCCATCTGCGAGCTGGGTCTCGTTGTCCTCCTCCCGGTCCCAGAAGGGTCAAGACCAGGGCAGAGAGGACCCAAGTCCAAGACCAAGAACCCGACAGACCCAAACCGCCCAAACCACCCCAAGGCACCACGGGGACCACGGGGGACCCAACCGCCCCAGAAAACAGAAACAGATTCTGCAAACATGTCTCAATACATGTACACCAGTCTCGCCCCTTTACCTCCCGTCTTCTCTCACCTCCCCGACTCGAGAAGGGCGAAGGCGACGCCCTCCAGTTCCAACTCTTCTGCAGCAGCAACCTCCACCCAGCCCAAAAACACGTCGTCTGCCGCAACAACAGCAGCAGCACAACCACCACCAACTCCAACAGCTGCCTCCACGCCGCCAATCTCAAAGGCAAATCCCGCAGACTCGTCCCGCCTACCGCCCACGAGCAGGACAAAACACCACTACCACCAGCACCACCCCTCCACTCGCTTGCAGCATATCCGCACTTCTTCTTCCTCTTCTGCGTCACGATCTTCTAACGAGACCTCGATCACCCCCACGTCGACCACGCTCTCGATCCCGCAGACAGCGTCTCCCACCGACTCGCGCGCGCCGTCCTCGCCATCGTCGCCGAAGAAGCTCAAGCACAAGCACCACCACTCGCTCCAGGAGACACGTGCTGCCGGCGACCACGGCTTCGGCTCCCTCCGCTCCAGAGCGCCGGCGCGCCTCCGCAAGGAAAGCGGCAGCTTGAGCTCCTACGCCAAGTTCGCGCTCGCCTCCCCTCCGACACCCCGCACCACGGGCCTCACTCCCACGGAGATAAAACATGTCGCCATGCTCGACATGGACATCTCGGGTCGTCATCTGACCGCCGCCAAGGCGACAGGCACTCTGCCCTTCTCTCGCACCGATAGCTTGTCCTCGGCCGCGCCTTCAACAGCGTCCATCTCGGCCCGCACAATGACTTCGACCGACCCCACTTCGTCGTTCGACGCCTCGCGTCCCTTCGTCTTGAAGAATGGGCGCCAGTACTTGTCCGACAACTCGCTGCCCTACCCGCTACCCGTCGATCTGGTCGAGCTGCATCGCCAGTCAATGCGCACGCTCATGCTGATCCAAGTCTTTGGCTCGCCATTGTGCTCACAGGGAAACGAAGTCAAACCACCAAGTCGCGTGCTCGAGATGGCATGTGGCTCCGGCTTCTGGAGTCAAATGTGCTTCCGCTACTTCAAGGGAAAGGGCCATACAGACACCGAGTACACCGGCATGGATATTGGTCCCATGGGCGCAACCGCCGGCGACGTGGACCGCGACATGAAGTGGCGTTATGTACAGCATGACATGCGCACGATGCCCTGGCCCTTTGCCGACGGCGAATTCGACCTGATCATGGTCAAGGACACCAGCTTGGTAGTGACAAGCCCGCACTCCGTCCAGTCCACCATGGACGAGTACATCCGCATCCTGCGCCCTGGCGGCACCATTGAATTCTGGGACAGCGACCACCAGATTCGCATGCTGCGGCCCCACGCCGCGCCACTGGCTCTAGACACCCCAGAAGGCGCCGCCGCCGTGGCGCTCGGCGCATACCCCCTGTCATCCAAGACACCACTCAGCGCGCCGCTGAATAACTACCTCGTCGAATACAACTCGTGGGCCCACCGCGCGCTCGAGTCGCGCAACCTCAGCCCCGTGCCGTGCACCATCATCGGCCCCGCGCTCATCCAGGAGTGCGAGGTGCTCAAGGACATACAATCGCGCCGCCTGGCGATCCCGCTATCGGAAGTCCGCTGGGAGCGCGAGGGCGTCGGCGGTGTCGTCACCAAGGACGGCAAGTCGTACATCGAGACAGGCAAGGGCAAGTCCAAGCCGGACGCGCAGAAGAAGACACTCACGCCCGCGCAGGCGGCCCTCCGCCGCACGGCGCTCACGACCGTCGTTCAGCAAATCCAGAGCTTGGAGCCGCTCCTCAGGGAGACCTCGGGCAAGAGCCAGGACGAGTGGGACGGCTGGCTTGGCAAGATGATGAACGACTTGACGAGGGAGAACGGCACGAGTTGGGGAGAGTGCCTGGAGGTTGGCGCCTGGTGGGCGAGGAGGAAGTAGTGAGACACGGCTTGATGAAACGAAAGGTTTTTATTGCATCACTGTTGGAGCTATCTCACAGGTCCATCCCATCCTCCCGGCCTGAGGCGACCATCACGCCCCGGGAACATACCGCTTCCTCAGTGTTCGGTATCGTTTGAGGTAGTACCTGTGGGATCGTTAGCGTGCCAATCAGTCGCAAAGCAACAGTAAGACACAGAAACAGAAGCAAGGAAAAGCGCAGAGGCAGAGGAACGGTTGAAGTGTGCAGTTCAACATCGAGATACCCCCCCATCATCATCATCATCAATCTACATCACATATCAACCAATATTTACATACACCTATATCTCATAATGACTCCTGACATGTGAAGCGAGGTATTGACCTGAAGTTGATCTTTCGATAGTGCGGTAGGTGGGGGAAGGGCAGCGCGGCAGATGGCTCACGTGGCAGGAATACTATGGAGATTGTGCTTGCGGCGGGGACGGTTCCGCGTGTTCAAGTGAGATCGACATGAGTACGGCGTGGCGACAGGGGTAAATAGGTAGGGCGGCCTTGGTCCCCTCCCGACTTGAATCCACCAAGGGTGCAGAAACCCAAATGGTGAATTTGAACTTACAAGGCTTCGATTTCTAGAAGGGGGGAGGGTGGTGGTTAGCATTGGTCTTGGAGTGATCTTGCTCGAGGATGTTCAGGTAGGGAAGTGGGAACGGGCAGGGGAGTGAGGGACGGATGGATTGACGTTCAGGAGTTGCGGGAGATGTGGGCCGCTGGGCTCTGTGTTTCTTTGTGAAGGGTGATGGCCCCGTGCGAGGCGAGATGAGGTTGGTGTCTTGCTCTCGGAATAATGTGATGCGGAACTGGCAGCTTTCGGGGAGAGACTTCTTCCCAAGATGCTGTTCGTGAGGAGGGTCTGTTGCAAACCCTCCTCATGAGGCCGTGGACGGCTGGCCTTTGCATCGCTTGATACTGGAGGTGGGTGATCTTGTGATGTATCCTACGGCCTGAGATATGGAGGAGGCCTTCTTGGTGGCGTGATGAGGAAGAAGGGACAGAGGGCTGAGTTTGTTCTGGTGGGCTGACGCCACGGTCCTCGACTTCGAAGACACTGGGTGCTGGGTCGATGTGTGGAGGTGATGAGAAGTTGTCCATGTTGTGGGATTGGCTGAGTTCTGCCATGGAATTTGAGCAGTTGGTGAAGGCTTTCTTTTGGCTTGGGTTTTGATAGAGTTGATCTCTGGAGTCGCGAGGTTCTACGTAGGTGGGTTGGTTGGCGGGTATCAGCCCGGGCGTGATGGTATGTCACGACCATGGAGTGCGGCAGGACAAGGCGATTGTTGGAAGGGGTAACGTAAGGTCTTGCCGTGAGTGGCAAGCTTTTGCCTGTTGGGATGGGTTTTGGTATGTGTGACCGGAGGACGTTTGCCATTTGCGCATACTGAGGCTGAGGCTTTATCTCAAGAAACACAGCTTCTGGGCAGAGATGCAAGCATAGCTTCTCATGGATGAGCCATCTGCCAGGGAATTCGGACAGCCGAGGAAGGGATGTTGTTGTGCATACAGCATATTCTCTGAATGGAGATACCCCTCAGTGACCTAGACTCAGATGTATCCTCAAGGTAAGGACATCTCACGGAGGAAGCCAGGCCTACCCAACAGCTGAAAAGACGAGGTCCCTAAGCGAAGAGCACAACTTCATCTGGCCGAGAGCGCAGAAGAGACGAATAAGAGATTATTGAACAACAGCCATCGGGGTCGGGCTTCGAAGGTAAGAGTCTTGAAAGAACACCGTCGACATGCGAGGTTGCTTCACCCCGTGCTCCAAGAAGATGGAAACGAGGAAAGGGGATTGTAGTGTCCCCAGGCAAAGCACCAGCAAAAACTACCCCGGAGAGCAAATACGGCATGACTTGCCTTGATGTCACTTGACAACTCAACCATACTCCACAGGCGCTTTGAAGGTAGTGGAAGTCATGACCTAGACGGCCCGGTAGAAGAAAAGACGCGAGGCGACAGACGGGACAAAAGAAGGACAGTGCCGAATGTGAAAACACAAGACGAACGGAGCATGACCTACCCTTCTTCACAAACTCGGCTCTCTGGATGCCCTTCTCAATCGCCTCCTCGTCTCTCAGCCCCGCGTTGGCGCTGAAGGCCCGGTGTAGGCGTGGGCGGAAGTATTCATAACCGAGGGGATACTCGCGTCCAAGGAAAAGGAGTTCTATGGTCTCATTAGCGACGTTCGAAGGTGATGGTTGTTCGATCGTAAGTGGCAACTGGTTGACGACGATGGGCCTCAGAACTGAGCAGCAAGCTTGCTTGACTTGATTTGATTTGACGTTTTCCGATGATTGAGAGTGTCAAGCTTCCATGCCCCATTCGTTCAACTGATGAATCTTGCGTATATTCATGGGAAGTGCTGACAGAGATGTCGCATGCCACGCCAGGGCGGGTGTAAGTTGTCGACACTCAGAACCCTCGAACAAGACCAGTACGAAGCAAGATTGACAGCCTACTGACCTTTGTAAATGGTAATCACCCGCCTCCTCAACTCAGGATTTACGGCACTCATCTCGAGTTGCCAGATGCTACCGCGCAAGAAACTCAAAGTTCAATCTTCGTCGGGACAGCTGATGGTGTAGGTCAACGTCGCCGGGATGTCGTCGGTTCCGTGGCGATGAGGTCGGATCCTTGACGAATGATGCAACACCCCTCCGTCCACTTGCGGCCCCACAGCATCACCAATCCGCCTCTCCAATTGGCCGTACCCAAGCTCAGCTCTTTATCTTATCAGTCGCCAGCCAGGTCCCTCGCCGCTTTGGCCCGAACTACGGCCTCAAGCTTTGCGACAGAAACCAACCATCGATACGCTGGCGCATACCAAATCGACGCACGAAGCCGATCATCGACGAAATGTTCTGCGCGAGGGCAGCTCGCACCGCGCTGCTACGGCGCCCAGAACTCCTCGTCGCTCGGCTGGCCCCTCCCGCCGCCGTCGTCCGCATCGCAGCATCGAGTCCCCGACCGTACAGCCAAGCCAGCAGCATCGCAAACCCCCAGCCAGCAGAGTTGCGGAACGCCACTGAAGACCTCCTCTGGACTCTCGAGCAGGCGGAAGCGGCCGACCTGACGGCGGCCCAAAACGTTGACGAAGTCGAATACGAGCTTCCATCGAAACTAGATGACGGGCTGACCGCGAAAGAAACAATCGACAAGCTCCTGCTCAAACCGAAACCCGCGCCGCAATACCTCAATGCCAGCTTCTTTCTCAAGCGCATCGGGAAATGCCTCATGTTTGGCTGCAACGAGGAGCAGGTCGCCGTGGCGGCCCGCCTTGTGCGCCAGATCGCCAAGGACTTTCCTCGACTGCAAATGGCTCGGTCCAACGCCGTCGTCGACCCCAAGGCCGTGTATACAGAAAGGCTAGACATGACGAAAAGAATCCAGCTCGAGCCTTTGTCCAAGACGTTCGGAGTGAGGAGCAATGAAGCCCCCACCCCCAACACTTGACGCGCTCATCGCTGACCTTGTTGTTCAATCTTGCAGGGAATCCCGCGGCCATTTCCACTCCCGAAACTGGTTGAGGTGGCCGTCTTGCGATATCTCGACTACGTCGCTTCAACTTCCACCTCTGACGTACAGCCGAAATGGGATCAGATTCAACGAATGCAGCGGAAGGCCTGGAAGGTTGATTCTCACTCGCTGATCCATAAGCCGGTGTCGCCGCTGGCCATCCAAAACATGCAATGGCCGTCAAACTTGCGATACGTGAGTATAGTTTACTAAAAGGGCGTCGGTCCGAAGAGGGCTAAATGATTGCATAGGATCGGACACGTAAAACGCAGAACATCTCTCTGTATACCCGTTTAGAGAGCTTCACTGAGATGGATCGCCGCGTCAAGTTCATTCTCGACGTGGCCTTGTGGTCACACTCGGCCAACGCTTTTCTCGTGAACGCGAAAGTCACAATGGTGTTTCTCTACCCCCGGAAACAGTTGCATGGCAAGTCAACCCGTTGGTTTGCGGAAGAGATGGAACGCATGCTGAATCATGCGACGCCCGAGGTCTGGCAGGAGGGCAGAGACTTGATAGACACGATCCGCATATTGGAGTCGCAGACTTGGAACAGGGCGGATGCGGTCGAGGACTTGGGCAGTGCTTCGTCGGCTTGAAATGCACTGAAGCCCGAGCGGCCCATTCGACAACGACAACCAACTTCCGACGAGGATATAAATCCAAGGGGTAGTATCCCTCGATGCTAACCAGATCCAGTATCTACCAGAACCAGGGCACCTCTGCCAGAAGTACGGCGTTGAGACATCTGGACAATGCCTATTGGTGTATTGGCCATCCAATGCGAAGTGCAAAGTTGTGGATTGTCGCTTGCAGTGGCCTGGTGGACGTCGTTGACAGTACGACCCCCCGCCGATGAAAGGAGGCAAGAATTGAGGCGCCTACAAGACCTGGCGGATCTAAAACGCGAATGCCATGTCGTTTGCGCTAGCCGCAGAGTGTTTAAAGCATCAGGAACCGTTCACATGGTCTCTGGTCATATTGCGAGCCATAGTCGGCTCACGGCCAAGCAGGCGACATCCGCTTAAACCTTCCGTGAACTGCAATGATAAGAACTGTCCTGCGTGATACAAATGCGAGAATGTGGAAAGCACGCCATTGTCAAACATGAATACTTGTGATATCTGATCTCAACGCAACATTGGCTGGAAGCGCGAACATGACATGGATGCTGTTGTATGATTGGCGGTTGGTGATTGGTACGGATGAAAAAGGGTATCCCCCAAGTGAAGAGGCCTTGTGGATTGCGCAAGGAAATCTTCCTATCCTGCCGGCGTGACTCCGGTCCCCATCACGGGACGGATCCAGTTCGGCGGGACGAGAAATTCGGCGAGGCTAGCAGAGAAAAATTCTCCTGAAAATTCTGCCAAAAATTTACTGCCAAAGAAAAGTCTTCTCGGTCATAGTCCACTACGAGACGGTCTCGTGTCCACTGTCTGGCGCTGCAAAATTCAGACTGGCTTCAAAGGGTCGAAAGCCCACCGAGAGATCCGCATCGCTCGGAGCTGCCCTGGCGCTATTACGTTGTGTCGCCTCACGTAGCCGTGCAAATGTGTGCGCCGCCATCGAGGGGCAGCTCATCGCGGCCAGACCGCCTTCGAAATTGGGTGTCACAGTGCGAAGGGCGACTTCGAGGGGTTCATCAACCCCGCTAAGCAGCCGCAGAAATATAACGGTCTGCAGGGCACCAATCACGGCCCGACATGCCCGTAGGTTGCCAAGCTTTAGTTGCTCTCGACGAGATGGAGGGGAGGTGACCAGGAGGAAGCGGAGGGAGGGGTGAAGCCCTCTGAGTTGCATGGAGGTGTGCTGCACTGCAGGAAGCTGGCGCCCTGAAGCTTATTCCCGAGTAGTCTCGATGTTAGATCAGGCGATGGTCCTCTGGAATGCTGCTGCAGGCGGTCGATGATTGGACAGATGCTGAAGAATCGCAGTCAACAGTCGATAGTCGACAGCACAATACTTATTCGTAGGTGACATCGCATCTCGTTCGTCGCGCTCGCCAGCACAACTCTAACAAGCTTAGAACCCCCGCAGGACGACCGTGCGCCACTGACTCTCTGTGAGGATTGTCGTTGGTACCACGAATCAGACATCGCGACTGCAAATTGCTCTCCACGACATTCCGAGTCAGCAGTCCACTGGATTGAATGGGCTGTGACATGGGAGGCAATCTGGCAGCAGGCTGGGAACGGCCAAATGCCGACAGGCAGATCGACTTGCTTTACCGCTCTGCGCCTAGCTCCTTTTCCCTTCTCGTTGTTTATGCTCAAGACCTGGGGGACGAAGTGGGGGTAGCTGAGGCCCTCAGGTTGCATTTGCCAATTCCCTCTGCTGTGACTTGTCAAGTGAAGGGCAGCAGCCAGGATAGGGTGTGCTTGCTCTGCTGAGCGCTGCATCTTCCTGGACTGTTCTCTCCTTTCTTTCGGCACGTTACGACGTGCTAATCGGAGGATAATTAGCTAAACAGGTGGATATGGCGGCAAAAAAGCTTGACCCTGCAAGCAATGCTGCTGGCACCGTACACTACGCCGAAGTCGAGCACCGCGTGTGAGATTCTCCGTTCGATCCAATTTCGACTGCCCCGCGAGTTCCGTTGGCTTGAAAGACGGTAAGGGTAATGTTGGTTGGGTGCGGGCGAAGCGTCGGGAGCGGTCAGTAACCGGCATCCGTTCGATGTCTCGCCGGGTCGTTCGGAGGCCTGAGAAGGAGAGGAGCAGCGCTGTCTTGCATTTTTCCAGAAATGGTTTGTTATGTTTCGAATCAAAGGAGACCAACGCCACTGGCAGAAGGTTTGACAAAGACAAGGGCGACGACGGTCTTTGTCTAGGGCCTGCGACGGGTCGAAAACAGCCATGCGGATCTCTCGACGACAGGCCAGACAGCACTGCGTTTGCAAACTGCAGGGCTCGTCCGGTTCATCGCTCGTCGTCTGGACCGCCATGAGTTGCTGTGGGTGGTGGGTGCCGCCGCAACAGATGCAGAGTGCAGAGAAGCATGCAAGCGGCATTCCTGTCCTGGTCCAAGATCGACGCAGGAAATTAAACCCCCAAGCCTATCGTCATTCTTGATAGGGCGAGGGGCACAGGTGGGAGGCGGCAGGTGCAGTAGTAGCAGCATTGCGTCTTGCGTGTGTGATGGTGCGTTGTCAACCACGAGACAGGACGAGACGAGTGCGCATTGCGCATTCGAATGTCGGTCGTCTGCCGCCGCCGGCTTGTCACAGTTGAGGTCCAGCTCCACCAACGATGCTCCCATCCCGTCCACCTTGTTCGCATGTCGGACGGCGTGATGGCAACCGTGACTTGCTTGGGACACGACAAGCAGGAATGTCTCTGGCCCTGGGACTAGAGACTGGGCCGTGGTGTTCGGTTGCACTGTAGCGAGGGCTAGGCTAGCCAGCGGCGGACGAACAAAAGTCGCGGGTAAGCCGCTAGTGGCCATGCGTCGCCGCCAATGCTCATCATGCTTTCCACTGTGCGAGGCGCTCAAGGGGCCATGGCACCCGTTTTGCCAGGTTTCTTGGTTTCGTCTCCACGCTGCGTGCCTCGTACCTCGCCGATGGCGTTTGGCGCGGCCCCGGTGGTCGGCCTCACGATGTTGATCTGGGACGGCGAGTCACCGAGCGTCGGAGGCAGATGCAGACGCAGACGCAGTCGCAGTGCGAAGCACGCACAATGATTATAGGTGCGTGCAAGGACCGATGGCGGGTGCTGCTCAAAGGGGGAAGCCGACGACGGCGAGTGGAAGCACTGTACTTTTGGGGCGAGTTGATCTTCCGCCGGAGAGGAAGCTTGCTGCTGCATGGCACGGTACGAGTGAGTGTACGAGACGAGCGAGTGCATTGCACATTGAGTGGTGTGGAGCTGCATTGCTGATCGTCGTCCTGCGGCTGGAGAGCAATTGGGAACCGACAGTTCACCGCAAAAGACTCGGGCACGGCGGACAGGCGATGGCTGTCGATGGAGTGCCCTCGTGTCTTTTTTTTCCTTTTCTGGTAAGCAAATCTGGATGGCGCGGGGTCTGCGATGGGCAGATGGAGGCGGGGAGAGCCCAGTCGCGTGCTGACAAGGAGGTGCAGCCAAGTGCGAGGGTACGGATAGAGTTGGCTCGACATGTGCAATGACGACGATGGGCTGGTCTCCTGCTGGATAGGGCAAGCAACGGTAGTTGGCGGTGACGGTAGTTGGTAGACCTTGAGTTTGGTTGTGCTCATGTGCAGTGTCATGGAAGCGCTTGGTACCGCGCACTTGATGCTCTCGTCCTTGGTAATTCGTCCTGGTTATCCTTGGTTGATGGTTAGCGAGACCAGAAGACTAACATGCGTCGGTATTACCCTGAACTGAGGTTGGCACGGCCGGGATGAGAGCAAGAAAGCTGACTCGGGGATACTGTGCGGTGAAGGCTTCGGTAGGGCAAGCCGACAGGCCGAAAACATGGTTGCGGCGGGCATTCAGGGTGATTGGAGGCGGTGCCGTCTCTTCTTTGCGGTGGGCAGGGTCGTCATGCGAGCAATGAACAACGATGATGGATGCTGCGGAGGATTGACAGCATGGATGGGAGATGGAAGCCACGAACAAGACGAGAAGAAAAGACGACGGGGCCGAACTAGGGACGAAAGAGGGAAGAGAGCGTCGACGGGGGTGTCCTGTGTAAGACCTGACATTTTTCTTGGGTGGCGGTTGGGTCTTTGATGAATTGTTGGTTGGCAGGACGAAGGCTTTGGAGAAAAAGAGTGTCGATGAGGAATCCCACGATATTTGAAAATGTCAGTTGTATGCGAGGAAGGGCCTCGTGCAGCTGGGAGGAAGGAATGGACAGGTGCAAGGCAAGAAGTTATCTTGCATGCGCCTTCTGGCAGGAGCATGGCCGATGGCCGTGGTTGCCCTTTGAAGGCAGGCACAAGCAGCGGTTTGGGTGCAGGAGCCATTTGCAACGTGGAAGCCAATTGAGTTACCGTTGTCAGTCAAATTATGTGAGGTGCATCGGTAGGGACCTGGGCAGAGTCTTTTGACTTGCTCAAACTCTTTTACTCTGACAATGGAGACTCGCAACTCAGCCTCTGCGCTCTGCTTGAGTTCCAACAACAGTAACTGACTGCTATTTTTACTCTGTTGCCGCGCTTCAGGGCGGCTGCGGATACTCTACCGCCCAGCGCCCTGTTCTGCCCTACGGCCTGCAGACCGAGTCGAGGTGCGTGATTCGTACATTCAGGTACGGGCTGCTCGTACGGGACGGACAGCCAGGCCAAGAACGGATACCGATGCAGGATCACTTGCTTGCTTGCGCGTTTTCCGTTCCGTCTGGGTCCATCTTTTGCCAGGGCCTGAGCAGATGCATGCAATGCGCTGCTGCACCACCGCAGCAGGCCTGGGAAGAAACGAAGAGGGGAGGGCTGAGTTGGGTTGTTGTTTTCAAAAGATTGATTGGAAGCTCGTCTGCTGCCAACTCAGCACCAAAGTCCCTACGTCTGGTTTGACTGGACATGACCCAATGTCTACTTTCTAGGCAGGTGTCCAATGTCTATTGTCTATCCGTAATGCTAACCAGTGGCCGCCTTCCGCGTATCGTCGCTCAGTGTCTAGCGCGGCGTGCTGCATGGGCGTTGGCGGCTGCCTCGGTCGGGGGTACCCCAAGGTACAAGCTTGTCGGACGAAATTGCCCCTTGAGCTAGGCATAGTTTGGCCGAGTCAAAAGTACCTGCCAGGTCGAAGATCCGAGATCCTGATCCTGATTGCTGATTCTGATCGGGGGAAGGAGAAGAAGGAGGGGCGGAACGCTCAGGAGACAGCTGGACCAATGGCGCGACCCGAGACTCAGCTGCCCCCCACAATCCACACTCTGCAGTCCACTCGATGCCCTCGTCAGGAGGAAAAAGAACGACGCTAACGCAGTACGTACCGCGAGCCAAGGCCAGACAGTGCGAGGGGGGCGGCTCCCGCACCATCCGTCATCCCTGCTCTGGTCCTGTTCCCACGTCCTTTTTTGAATAAACTTGAAGCGAGGCGCCTCCCACTCCCACCTTTCAATGTCCCGAGACGGCCAAATAAAAAAAAGAGAGAGGAAGAGAAAAAGAAACCCAGAAAATAAGGCGCTGTCATTTGACACTGACTCTGACTGACAGTGTGCTCCTGCTGCCACTGCCAGACAGACCGCCGTTAGCTGTGATTGCTGCTGCTGCTATTGCTGGGTGCTGACTGTCTGAACTTTGCATCTGACACTGCACGCTGCATACCTAGGTACGCTGCATACACACAAACACACACAATACCTACAGCACACACAGCTGCAAATTCCATTCTTTCAGCTCTCCGTCTCTTCTGCCCGCTCACTCAGCTATTTTTTCTCTCTCGCCCCTCTTGCCTTGCTCCCCTCATACGAACTCCTATTTCGATTCGATTCATTCGATCCCCAATTCGCCAGCTCACTTTCGGCTCGGCTCTTACCCGAACCTTTGCCGCCCCATACACGCCCGGCAGTGCGCCTCCCAGACGCTGTTAACAATTTCGTTAGCTGCTCCCCCAAGCCTGCCCACCTGCCGAACCCTTCCCGCGTAATAATTGCACCCCCAAATTCTTACCTTTTGGCTTAAACTTCGCCTTGCCTACCTATCCACCCACCTTGTCGCCTTCCCACCACCACCACCAACCACGCTCTCTTCTCCGTCTCAGGACCGGAAAAAAAACCACCACCCAATTCCACAACATCACCACTCCCTCGGTATCCCTTAGAAACCTACACAACCGTAACTCAACGACGCATGAGGCCCCACGGACCCCTCCGGACACTCTGCGGCTCTGCCCTCACCCTTGCGTCGAGTGCATAGTTTCTCAACAGCCGCTGTTCTCCCGGTCGCCCTCGAGACGGGACACGAGATCGCTCCAGCATCCAGACCAGTCCAAGTCGTGCTGCTGGCCCTCCCGACCTGCCTCTCCAGGCTCCCGGGTCGGTCCACAGCAGAACAAGGCGCTGCGCATGCCTCGTGCTTCGAGTTCTGCGAAGCGACAGCAAGGCGCCGCCGCCAATCAACGCGACACCAGGCACGAAAATGGTCTCGTAGGCCCCGCCAAACGATTCTCCAACAAGAAGAGTCAGCCGAATCTCGACCCGAACCCTTCTGCTTCTGCCTCGACCTCGACCTCTGCTTCCAACTCCCGTCTGCCGCCAGACCAGAATGCAGCTGCCTCGGCTCTCCCATCTCCCCTGCCCAACGGCTCCTCCAACGGACATCTCAAGAACCCGGCCCCCGGTGCCACGATCGATACCATGCCTCCCGACCACCGCAACGGCGACGCATCTGCCAGGCGAGGCTCGCTAGGCGGCTGCTCCGAGACGTCGTCCTCCGAGTCTCTCGCTTCCAACATGGGCAACGGCGCCGTCGACACGAACCACCGCCAGATCGATGTTAACGCCACCAAGAATGCCGACGTCCACCGCGATCCGGGCGGCCCTATCGAGTTCGCCGCCACCGTCCTGAGAGCTCTTCCCCTCTACGACACCCTCGCCATTCTTATTCTCCTGATGCAGGTCCCTCCCGTCGCCCTCTCCGGTATCTACATGGTCTTTACCTTTCTCACCTTTGTCCCGCCCGTTACCACCAGCTCTGGAATGAACATCAACCTGGCCGAGATCTTTGACTACAACTCGACCATGCCTTCCCTGGTCACGGTGCTTTGCATGGATGTGTTTATCTTGCTGGTCTGGCTCTTTCTGTGGCCGCCCATGCAGCTTGCCATCCTCGACTTTGCGAAGCCCGTCATCGCCGCCACGCTCGGCGGCGGATCGAACACCAGGGAAGGCGCATCTCGGAGTGTCACTAGCTGCTTTCTTCTGGTAATAGGGTCCCATCTTCTTCGCGGTTCCAGGTTCCACTGGTCTCGAGCTACAAAGTTCCTCCCTGCAAACTGGCGATTCTCTCCCGATTCCGACGACCCGTTAGAATCCTTCACCCGCGGCTTCGATAAGAGGGGGCCGCATGGGTGGATCAAGAGCATCCTCGCCATACATATTTTAACGCAGGGTATAGTCCGGTATATTAGAGAGTGGTATTTGAGACGAGAAAAAGGGAGCGCGTCAGCCCATAGCATCACAGATCCCGAAGCCGGCAAGTCGTACTCTACCGACACAGCGACGGAGAACGGATTTGCTACGCCCCACAGCGATGCGACCTTCCAACAAAATGCAGCAGTATCATCTACAAAAAAGAAGCGAAAACAAAGCACACAGGTGCGCCTCCAGCAGCCGCTATGGGCGGCTCTGGCGAGCACCAAAATTGTCATGGTTAAGGAGTACGAACTATCACACGCGACTTCTGAGTCAGCCGGCTCAAACGCTACCGACATTCATAACCTGGGGAACGCCCCATTCGACAGTCAAGCCGAACAGATTTGGATATCCTACATCGGGCACGACGAAGTATGCTTCAACACCAGCCATTTCCCCGATAGCCCTACTGCCGGAAACGGACATGTTGCGCGACCGGCAGGCGTCGACACGTCAAAGCCTTTCTATGTCCGGGTCAACAATGCCTTTTGGCAGCCAACACGCATTTACCGTATCCAGGACGAAGCTCAAGATGAGCACCTCGGCCACCATCGCTGGTGCGGGGACATCTATGGGCTGCGGCCGCTATCCAAGTACGTCTGCGAGTTTGTTGACACCCACACGAACAGAGTCATCTTCTCCACGAGCATCCGGACCTCTTTTGCGCCCAACAAGGACCAGGAAGGGTCCGTCAACCCGCCCGTGAGCACGCCTCAATCCCTCCGCCCCGACTCGCCGGCGACGACGCTGAAGAGCACCATCAAAGCCAACAACGACCGGTTGGCGGAGGAGAAGTCCAGGCTCAAGGCGCTGCGCAAGGAGTGGAAGAGCAAGACTACGTCCCTCAAGAAGGAGAATGACAAACTCGACAACATGATTCAGACGGCAGGCAGCAACGACGACAAGCACAGGCAGAAGATTATCCAGCAGGAGACCACGAAAGCCCAGTCCGAGAAGGAGACCGCCCAGCTCGACGCAGAGCTCAAGGCGTTTGAGAAAGCACCCGATGGGCTCTACGAGCGCAAGAGACAGACGGAGAAGGAATGGACTGCTGAGAAGGCCGTCTTTGACACTGCATCCAAGGAGTTTAAGGACTACAAGGCCGGGATCGCCAAGACTGTGAAGGTCAAGGAAGATGAGCAAGCCGCCATGCAGACGAAGCGGAACAAGATCGCGGCACGCATCGCCAAGGTGGACAACGAACTGGGCCGTATTACGGACGCCAACAACCGCGGTCTGGACGAGGCCGAGCGAAGACGCCAAGCGCGCGCCGCCTGGCAGGCGGACAGTTCCAAGATCGAGAACAACTTCCTCGGCAGCATCGAAACACTGCGGTCGGCCAACGTGAACAAGCAGAACGACGTCAATGCCCTGTTGGCGGGTCTTCAGCAGATTCACGAGTACGTTAACAACGCGACCGCCGCGACCATGCCTTTCGATCTTGCCGAGCGTCAGCCAGCCCAGCTTCCGTCTACCTTGTACAACCCTGCCGCGCCTTCCTGGACCCCCTCTCCCGCCGGAGCGTCGCAGTTTACGGTTCCGGCAGCGTCCATGTGGCCCACCGCAGCGACGACTGCCCCTGGCTCGACGCTTCCGCTGCCCGCGACGACGGCGTCAGCCGTGTGGGGATTCCCGCCGGCGCACCAGAGCACGGTGTCTCTCAAGGCTAGAGGCCGTTCCTCATCGATGCTTAGTGACGTCTCCGGGTTCACGCAGTCCAGCGACGGCGACGAGTTCCTCTCGCTCAACAACACGCCGGCGCACGGGCACACGGTGCAGCGCACGCCCGTGTCCTTTGCGTTCACCCGGCGCCAGCGCAGCGACGGCGCAGGCTCCGGCGGCAGTAGCATTCACAGCGGGAGCGGCAGCGGAAGCTTGCGGGATCCGGCGAGTCCGATTTGAGATGTGCAAAGTGTCTGTCTGTTTCTGTCTTTAGGTAGTCTAGCTTTCTCGGCTTGGGACATGGCGTGCTGGATATTTCGTCAGCTCGACGGGATGTCAGTAGCGATTTCTCATAATGAAAAGTGTTGCATTGTTTAGAACTTTTGTGTTATTGCCGTGACGTTTATCTACATGGACCCTGTCAACATTTCAAATATGAGTGAGGTAAGTCATCGCAAAGACGGCATCGTGAAAGTTCCCGACGCGCTGCTCGGCTCCAAGTCCCCCGAAAGGAAGCCGGGGTGCGTCGTCGCGGATAGAGTGCGCCCCCTCGTGTCCCTTTTTTTGTCGGTTCGTCTCAAGTCAAGGCTTGGCTCCGGCATGGTCCCGGCAGTTGGATTTTGGCGGCGGCGGCGGTGCCGGGTTTGAGTTGGCGTGCTGCAGGTGCGGATGAGCTGGCTGTAGATGCAGAGTTTAAAAACAAAGGGCAAATGGTTCACGTGGGATGGGTCGTTTTTCTTGTGGGTGCGCGATTGTTTTGTGCGTGAGGGTGTTATTGAGGGTTAAAGATGGCAAATAGAGGGCATGTGGAAGATAGTAGAGGCGACGATGGAGAGGATGCTGGAGATGTAGGCGGTATGACGCTGTCGAGATGAATCTTCTCATTACAAGAAAGTAGATCATTTGTACTTCAGTAGAATGTGTGAGGGTTGAAGGGTTGGTGTGCGTTCCCGTGGTTCATGCCACGGCTGGCGGAGTGGTTGCACAGGACGGGAAACGATTTGATGGCGAGGCGTTGCTGCGATGGTTTTTGGCCAAGGCAGCTTTCGAGGACATTGAACATTATTCTGCGGTGAGACGGCACCTGGGGTTGGTGTTTTTTTATTTTTTTTATTTTTTTATTTTTTTAAGCATTTTACACATTCCATCACAAAGAATGAGGCGGATAATGGCTCGAAGGCATATTTTGTCGCCACAAGACAGAAGCGGTGAATATACCGCTAGATTTGAGTAAATGTGTGCGTCTGTAGATCTGTGTGATGTGAAGCGGGAGACGCTCTTTTCTTCGGCTGAGGCAATTCCACGAGGACGTCTTCAACCTGGACCGGGGTATTTGGCTCAGTCCTCGTCTCTCACGTGCATTGAAGAAAAATGATTTCCAAGTCCTGCGGGTGGTTGGAAGTGGAACTCTCTTTTTCATCGTTTTATCTGCACTCTTTCCAAGTTTTCGTGCAGTAAGGCGGGGTGTTTGTGGTTTGAAGGCGAATCATGAAGGTGAGGATGGATCTCACGATAGGGAGGGGTAAGGGCGGTGGTTGGCGTCTGCTCTTTTCCCGCCTGCGAGTGTTGACTCACTGTAGAGACGGAGAGCGGGGTTGTCTGTCGATGTACATACAAACCGCTTCGAATCTGCAGGCTTCCAGAGCATGTGAACGCCTGGGGACACGAGAGAGGAAAACAATAGTCCAACGGGGGCACAGGGGGCGGCGGTAGAGGCAGACCAGGCACGGAGGAGGATGGATCTAGGGCGGCGGTAGCGTCGTTTCTCGGCGGCTACGCGCATATGGGGTGATGTTTTGATTGATTGAGTTTTCTTGGTGATGGGGGTGGTTGGTTTGGTTGTGTTCCACTTGAGAGCGAGTCCGGATAAGAGATGGATATTGGAGGTAATGCATGTACATTGCAGCTCTGCATGAGATACCTGTGTTAACAATGATTTGTCTACACTGAAAGAGAGACAAAAAGGCACATGCATTCGCCAATAGAGAGTCTACCGCGGCCGGTGTTGAGTGAATTGCTGCTTGACCGGCGTCTCGGCTACGCGCAGGGAGTCCAACAGCAGCACCACCGGCTGACTTGCCCCCCCTCCACCCTCACCCTATGAGCGGCGCGGGTCCCGGCGGTCCCTGCGCCAGAACACTCGAAGGGGGGGTCGACCACTCACGGGGCGGGGCTTAGCTCGGCGAATGGGAGACGGAGGCGGGGGGTCGACGGGGGAGGTGCAGCGCGCTGGAGCCGTCTCTGTTTTTTTAAGCATTCGTTTGGGGCCATTGGTAGCGTCTTCTTGGGTTGGCAAGTAGATTCACGGCGGAATGATACATTGGTCCATTGAGTGGAAGGTGTCTTGGTCGGCTTGTTGTGCATGGGCAGCGAGGCTAGGTGCCGCCAGGGGGTGGAGGGTGCAAGTCTGCAGTTGGTGTCTTTTAAAGACGACACATGACGCCTGTTTTCGCGTGTAGCACCGCATCGTCGGCCTTCTTTCGTTGCCTCTCTCTGCGTGTGGAAGTGTTCAGCTGTTGCCCCCTTTTCTGGGTCCTCTCAAGGGGTAAACAGTTCGGATTCTCCCCCTTTTGAGCATCCTCTTCGCATACAAGCTGAGCCTCGATTGCGGAGTTTTCGCCCCAGCGGCAGATCGCCAGACGTTGCCATCCCGCCCCCCGGTTCTCGCATACCGACCGCAACAGCATTCATCCCGGCACCGGGCCTTGAGTCTACACGCTGCTCTTACCGAACGCCGCTCACCGAATCGTCCGGAGGTGGAAGGCGCAGTCCAGGTGGATTCTATTTCCGTGTAACGGACCAGCAGTGACGACATTCTTCTTTTTTGGCTTGTGCTCTCCCGCGAGGCGGACGTTTCGGGTTTGCATTTGCGCCTTTCAGCTGGCCTTGGATGACAAGTCAGCTGCGCCGAGCGAGCTTTTCGTCTGGTCTTTTCTTCTGAGAGACCGACGAGGAGTTTGCTGGTTCTGCCTTGGCCTGGTCTGCGCGTTTGGCACGCAAGACCGAGGCACGAGACACGAGGACAGAAGGGCGCGTCTGCCTTATTTACGCCGCCTTGTCGGTCCCCTTGGACAAGCGGTCTGCTGAGGGTGTGCTTCTTGGCGTCTAGAAGCTTGTTCTCGAAGGAAACAAATAGGCAACGCTCCCCTCGGAGAGTTTTGAGTTGAAAGGCTTGGATTGTATGCCAAGATTCATGTTCGTCGACAGGAAACGTTGAAATCCTCCATGTAACCGAAAATGGGCTTCTTCGACCGCAAAAAGATCCGCAAGGCCGAGCCGGCCCCGGTCCCGGTGAGCCACCCACCGCCGCCGCCGCCTTCACGGTATGCGACTTCGACCACCCAGACGCCTCAATACTGGCACCCACCGCCACCATACCCAAACCAACAATACCCCGTTCAACATCCTCAACACCAACAAACCATCCGCCACCCCCCAAACCGGCAGTACCAGCAGCCCATCGTGGTGAACCAGCACTACTACATCACGCCGCCATCCTCCGCACCGCTCGCCCTACCAGCCCCTCCGGGCCCGGGCTCGACCGCACCGTCATCATGCCCCGCCGGCCTCGACAAGTTCACCGGCTCCGTGGCGACCATCGCCAAGGACTTCACCTCGCCGCAGTTCTTCGACGAGCCGAACTTCCACCCGCACGCGACGCAGCTGATCAACTCCACCGCGGCGTGCGTCGACCAGATCGCCGGGTGCTTCAACGACGTCATGACCATGATTGACGGCGGGAAGCTGTCTGGGCACGAGAAGGCGCTGTTTACGTACCAGCAGCAGCCGGCCCCGAGCGAGCAGCAGCAGCAGGTTGTGCCGTACGAGGGCAAGAGGAGCGGCAAGACGAGTAGTAGCAGCATGAAGAAGAAGGAGAGCCATTCAAAGGGGCAGGGCGTGGCGGAGAGTGTCGCGAGCGGGAGCTACTTTTCTAAAGTGGATATGTACGCCAACGCGAGGCTGCCCCTGAACCTCCCCCCTCTCCGACTGTAAGCACCCCTCCCTCAAGGAGACACACGAGGTCCCTAACAACCCCAGATACATGCCCACCTGGCCGCTGCTCTGCATGGCCGCCCAATACGCCGAGCGCGTCTACGAGACCCCCAAAGGCGCCGAGCGCGACACCCACGTCAACGCGGATTGGAAGCACGGCACCAAGGCCATGGTGATCAAGTCCGTCCCCATGGACCACATGAACACCATCGTCTTCGCGATCCGCGGCTCCGCGACCTTCATGGACTGGGCCGTCAACCTCAACACGGCGCACGCCTCGCCCACAAACTTCCTCGACGACCCTGGGAATTTCTGCCACGCGGGCTTCCTGACGGTCGCGCGGCGCATGGTGAAACCCGTCGCGGCAAGATTGCGCCAGCTGCTCGAGGAGGACCCCGCGCGCAGCGGATATTCGCTGCTGATCACGGGGCACTCGGCGGGCGGGGCGGTGGCGAGCTTGCTGTATGCGCACATGCTGGCGACGAGCAAGGCGGCACAGAGCGAGTTGAATGTGCTGACGGGGTGTTTTAAGAGGGTGCATTGCGTGACCTTTGGGACGCCGCCGGTGAGCTTGTTGCCGCTGAAGAGGCCGGAGCGGCCGGAGTTGAGGAAGAGTTTGTTTTTGACGTTTGTGAATGAGGGGGATCCGATTGCGAGGGCGGATAAGGCGTATGTGAAGTCGTTGTTGGAGTTGTTGGCGTCGCCGGCGCCGAGTGTGGGGAAGCAGAGGGATGGAGGGGAGAGGGAGAAGGATAGAGAGAGGGAGAGGAAGGGGAGAGGGGTTGTGGCGAAGGCGAGCAAGATTACGTTGAGGGGTAAGGAGAGTGGTGCGGTTGTGAAGGAGGAGAGGAGGGCGAAGAAGCCTGTGTGGGAGCTGCCGGCTTGTACGCTGAGTTCGCCGGGGCGGATCGTGGTGTTGAGGAGCGGGGATAAGAGGGAGAGGATCAAGGATCGGAAGACTGTCGAGGAGAGGTTGAATGAGGGCGTCGTGGCGCAGACGGTGACTGATGAGGAGCTGAGAGGGGTGATTTGGGGAGATCCGGTTTGCCATGTCATGAAGCTGTACTCGGGGAGAATCGAGATTTTGGCTGTTGGGGCTGTGACTGGGAGACATGGATGAAGAAGGAAATAGGGGTTGGCGTTTGGGGAGGGTGATACCTTTGACTTCGGCGGGGATTTTAACGACAACTTCATGACTTATGAGAATAAGACTATACCAACAACAACAGACATTCTTCATTACAAGCCTTTCCTGGTAGAAAACAGTCGCGCCCCTAGCTCTAGTACAATTTTCTACACTATCCCAGCAATGATTCGAATGTGCCCTCTTCATAATAATTCCAATCTGTGTAGTCAAACTGCTATACAGGGGATGACCATCAAGTAGGAGGAAAGCACAAGCGACTAAAGATCCGAATTCTAGGAATCTGGTTCCGACTTTATGAGTACATACTTGCGGCAACGAAAGTTACATAAACATCCAAGCATATATGGAGGAGGGTCTGATTTGCAGAATGCAAACAGAATAACTCCGTTTCACTCAAGCAACCTCTTCGACCAACTTCAGCACGAACTGGCCTAACTGCGTCAGTGAAGTCAAACTAGCCCAGAAAGACGAAGTGCTCGATGTCTTCTGGGCCTGTAACTGCAAAATACGCGAGTCCAGATACGCTTTCTCCGAAGCACTCGATAGTTTCTGCTGCTCCTGCAGTTTCTGCACCTCCAGGGTCAGTCTGTCCATCTCAGTTTTCCACTTTAGCCCCATGGCCTCCACCTCGTATTTCTCCCTCTCCAAATCTGCAACCTTGGCTGAGTTTTGGCTAGCACCGGCCTTCTCGTCTTTCAGTTGAGCCATGACTTTGTTGAAGTCGTCCATCACCTGGTCCATACGGGTCTTAGCCGCATCCTGCTCCAACTGAGACTGCTTCTCCAAAGTTTGGATCCTTTCACTCAGCGTCTTCTTCTCCCGTTCCATGCGTATGTACCGGTCGGTGAATTCCTGCTCTTGGCGACGGTGTCCCTCCCGGCTCTCAGCTCGCAGTATTGCCTGTTCTTCCATCAGTTCCCTCACAAATGCTGTCTTCTTCTTCTCCTGCTCCTCAAGCATCTTCCGTAGATGCTCGTCCTGTTGAAGCCGCGCCTTTTCCTGCCTCTCAACCAAGCTTTCAATCTCCTTTTCGAACTTGGCACGCAAGTCTGCCAGCTCGTAGTTGAGAGCTACACCAGCCGTGGTATTCACAACATCAAGACCTTGCTCAACCATCTCCTTTTGCACTTGAAGCACAACAGGAGGCAAACCAGCAACTTCCCAGAGTAGGTCAACAGCGGATTGCTGCGTGTTGCTGAAACGTCGAATCTGCGAGCCCTTGCTCTTCATCTCGCCCCACCAATCGGGCTTTTTAAGGAGCTCCCGCTCTCTCTTCTCTCCTGTTTCGTTGTCTTTGAGCTCGTCCCAGAATGTTGTCACGAGAAAGACATTGCTGAAGAAGTTATCTCCACACAAGTACCGAAACATATCGAAGTTCCGCTGAATCCCGTTGCTGACTTTCTCATCCTTGATACGATGGAGATATACAATCCCACTCAGCTTGAGCTTACTCTTGTAAGAGGCGCTCAATGTCTCAGCAATATCGATGAGGATTTCGCCATCGCCCCGGCGAGTGTCGTCAAATCCCGGCGTATCAAAGAGGATGAACTGGCGTCCTCTGAACTTCACAGTGAACGTCTCGGTCTTTTGAGTGCCTGAGAAACATTGAGGTCAGAAGCATGTCCGTAAGATAACATCAAGAAGCTTACAAGACTCAAGACTCTGTATGCGGCGCAGTCCTAAGAGGCGTGGAAGGATCAATCACCTCCGAAAAGAAGTGTAGGCGGCACTACGGACACATGCTGTCACAAGTGTATTCTCCGGAAAAGCACAGTGGATACGACGCGTCAACTCGATACCTTTGGACCGACTCATTCAACCAAACCACCTACCTAACGGGTTTCATGACCTGGAGTATCAACAAGGTCAGTGACGTGCGGAAGTAACGTTGGGAAAACATCTGTTTGAAATCGTGCTAAAATCACTTAGAATGCAACACTCGAAAAGACGTCAGAGATCGACAGTGATTTCAACTGCTCATATATTTGGCCATTCAAAAAGACATACACACACGACTTGTACGCTTGTAGCCTGGACGAAGCACCTGAGACGACAGAGAACGACCGTGAGTACTTTCCAAAGACCTGTGCGTCTGCAGAGGTAGCATCGCTAACACAAACACAGGAGTCGAAAAGATCGGAGAAGTGGAGTACACGATCGATGGTCTTGACTTTGTGAATGACAGTAGCATTCAACATCTCGTTGAGAACGGGCAGAATAAGTACAAAGTGTCGCACACATTGAAAATTAAAATGAGTGACGAAACTGGGCTCTTGGTTTTCAGGATTATGGCTGGAGCGAAAGAGGTCGGGCAGGCGAAACTTGCGTTTTCAAGTACATAAGAAGCCCATAATCGTGGATGAACCGGATGAGCCAAACCCCTCTTGCACGTGGACAACACGGACCGGGCTGTAGCCTCAAACACATCCGCTCGAACTAGTACTTGCTGCTTGACATTGTTCAATGGTGATTTTTACACTGCGTGTGAAGTTCATTTGATGCTTCAGCGGATCTACTTCTCCTCAACTACCGACCGAATGGTTCCAGTGAACGGAGCTGGAAAACCTGGGTTATAACAAGGCACGAATGACCGATCACGCCGATGTAACGTGCATCGAGAAGCTAAGCTGGAGCTATCTGCAACGTGTGAACATAGACGCCACTCAAACGACGTGAAAACGTTATACATGCAAGGCTTTCCAGGACAATGACCGGGGTCAGTTTCATGTGGATGGCAATCATGCCGTCCACCCAGACCGCAACACGCTAAGACGCCGGGAGCCAGTCTTGATGGATGGCGAAGTTCTAGCCGCAAGAACAAACACACATCATGAATGGCGATGATACACAAACATGCCAAGACCAAAGCATGTCCGATGGACTCGGATCCACCGCGAGGCATTTCTAGCCCCTGATACAGCACCTCAGGATTGTCTTCGGTACGCTTCTTGACAAACGCTGACGGGAAAATAGGACTGCAACCCTTGTTTAACTTCCTGAAGTCCTGAAAATTTATACTAATTGACCGTGAAGAATAATTGTATAGTCCATGTACATACATTTAAGCAACAGAAATCAACACACGACTGCAAGGCAAGATGTTTCCCTTTGCGGTGGATGTGAAAAAGAGAGGTGACGTCGCTTTCTAGGGTCCGACATGGATGTACGCAGCCCAAATGGATGGATTGCCTTCATCACGGACAGCATAGTCTAACCCTCTGCCCCTGTCCTGTCCCTCCTCGCGGGTTTTGCTTCGAAGAAGTCTTGCGGCGTTGTGAACCCCAAGTGCTACAGACTCATCAGTCCATCCACGCTCCTGGATCGTCCTATAAACCTCTGCGGCTGCTTCAGCCGAGCATTTGTCATCTATCTTCCATAGCGATCCGACCACATGCGGGAACCCTGCTAACTGGCAAGCACTCATCAGATGGATCGACTCATCTTGCAGCCTCTCTGCTTGGTTTTCTCCAGTAGAGCAAGCTGAAAGGTAAGCCAACCAAGCAGGCCTCTCAAAAAGGTTCAGAGAAGTTAAGCTTTCAAAGCTCAAAGGATCACTAACCCAGTCATTGAGGAGAAGACAGCTCTTGGACGGATCCAGCGGATTTGTTATACCATGGCCTGCAAAGTGAAATGTTGTACAGGTCTCAATTTGATGTAGTACCTCTTCTTTTTCAGGTTTATCGAGAAGAGTAGTCGGTATACTTGGAGATAGTAGACTGGCCAAAATCTGCACCTCCTCTTCTACAAACTCAAGGTCGCTGGGAGATAGACGGCCATTAGAGGGTGTGGTCCCCATGCTGACGAGACAGGCCTTGTGAGAAACGTTTCCCCTGGTGATTCGGGCTGACTTCTGACGAGATTGCATCAGAGCTTTGACTGAAGTACTGTATGAGGATATTACTCTATCCATCACTGTGTCGAAAGAGCCTTCTTGGTGATAACCCGCCGCGTGAATCGGGAGCCTGCTCAAAGACCCTGTCAGAATCCACCATACGTGCGGCAAGTCACCATCTCTCGGGGGCTCCAGGAATCCGAGCTTATCGAGAACTGGACAAGCCATAACATCCCAAAGATTTTCCAAAGACTCTGAATCAACGTTAAATTCGCTTTTGATGCCCGAAACTTCAAATTGTGGAAGTGGTAGCAGCTGGATAGAGTGGGTGTCGATGATGAAAGCATCGCAGCGCCGCGAATTTGCATTGAGAATGACAATGGGACCCGAAGATGCGGCGGCAAGTAGGCTCTCTGCTTTTGGCCGAATGAGAAATGTTTCGAACCCTGGCTTGGAACGAATCTCCCTGATAACCGTGTTGAATTGGGCATCCAGATCGCGGCGTTGCTTGGCATGCATCTCCATAGGGATATCCTTGTCGACAGAGGATAAAGATGTCGCACCGGAAGGCGTGTCCAGCTCGTTTCTTAGAGATATGAATTGATTCGCCAAACCAGCATGACTGCTAGTAAGATCGGCGATTTCAGCACGAGTCTCGAATAACAGCGCAGCCATCACTCCACGACCGGACTCTAGAAGATTAAGAGCATCGGCAGGCGACTTTCCCGCATTGAGAGCAGTCGCAGCAGCTAAAGAAGCCAGTCCTGGAAATTTTCGCAAAACATTCTGCTGGTCACTGCTTTTCAGAGCCCGAGGACTCACGGACGGCAGAAGGCTGACCGCGGTCTCCAGTATCTCGCTTGCTTCCCCCCATCTCGACTTGAAGTTGAGAAGCCCAGCCGCCACAGATCCCAGCGGGATGCGAGTTGAAGGAGGGGAGTTCTGACAATTCCATCCTTGCAGCGAGACTTCAATCTGATCATCAATAGTATCGTTGCCAAGCTTGCGATAGCACCTAAGCAGGTTCTCGAATATCATCCAGCGTTCAGGATGAGTCTCAGGGAGAATTGTCGCTGCGTCTTTGAAGATCGTGATTGCTTCATCAAGGTCATCAAATGACCGAGTATCATTGAAACGTTTGAAAAGTCCACCAGCCAAGTTGTTCATATCCAAGGCCCGACCAATATCATTATTAGATTCAAGATCAATTGCCGTCTTCAGCAGTGTGATGGCCCTATCAAGATCATCAACCGACCTGTGAATGTCATGTCTGGTGCTCAGTAAAGCACCAAGCTTTCCCAAGCGTGCTGCATAATCTCGATTTCCTTGTGGTGTAGCTTGTAGGACGCTTTCCATCATATTGATCGCGCTTTGGAGGTCGCCAATGGAATTGGTGCGACTATATCTCAGTGTCAGTGACGTCGAAAGATTGGACATGATATCAAACCGAAGCCGATTGTGCCTAGGCATCATATCCATTGCCTTTTGCAAAGTATCGAGGGAGTAGTCAATGTCAGCCATAGAGCCCGTATGCTCATATCGTTTGTTGAGCATCTTTCCCAATAGATTGAGGTTACCGAGAAGGTGAGAATGATCTTGAGACATTGCTACGGCAGTTCCGGTCAAAGACTCGACAGCTTTGTTGAGATCGTCCAAGGACCCCGTGTAGTCGTACATGTCCCCGTAACAACAACCCAAGCAACCCAGAAGACCAGGCACGACTGGGTGGCCTTCGCTAGCAACTTCCAGGCCAGCATGAAAGGCCCAAATGGCAGATTCAAGGTCTTCTACCGAACCATTGCTATGATATTGATTGAGAAGCATCGTTCCATGAACCTCGTGTCGAACGGGGCGCAGTAAATGCTCCTCGGGCGTCAACAACACTGCCGCGTGTGCAGGACCGACGGCGCGATCCAGATCGATGGTAGACCTTGAAACCAAAAAGCGTTGGTTCAGTCTGTTTGCAAGACTCATCCAAAGGTCGGGATCCCCTGGACGACTTGAAGAAACTCTCCCGAGTGCCCTTTCTGTCAGTTGAACAGCCTTATTTAGATCTTCTATTGATTCGAGGGCTTGGCCTTTGTCGAGATAACACTCGGCGAGGCAATCCAATTGGCGGGGGCGCTCAGGATTGGTGCTGTGGATGAGACTAATCTCCTTATTCCATAAACCGATGGCTTGGTTGATGTCATTTGTTTGCTGGGTAGAAATGAATCGGCGTCGCAAAGAACTCGCTAGAATACCCACCTTCATGGTGCGGTCGGTGTCAGCTGTTTCACCTGGCCGGACGAATGGTCTCTCCTGAGTCGCAAGTTGTAGATTCTCGACGGTATTGACAAGGTTTTCTGGTGCATCGACGCTATGCAGGCGTTGTCGGCCAGCATCTGTACTATGGGTATTCAAGTAGCTAAGACAATGAAAGCGACCCAGAAGCAACAAGGCATTCACCTCGGAGCTTAACGCCGTGATAAACGCATCAAGAAGTGGGGCTGAACATGCTCTTCTCACTTGCGTATCAAGCGACTTCCAAAAGCCCACTGACTTGTTTTCCGTGGGGGCCTCTTCATTCAAGGCTTCGATCGCGCGATGCATGACCTCTAAACCCTCTTCCCGTCTCGGAATTCCAGTTGCTCGAGAACGTGTCCGAGTTTGGTGAAAAAAGACAGCCTTCTCGTGAGCGAAAAATGGATGTGAGATCCAGTCTGTTGGGGTTATTGAGTCGCCACAATAAACGTCGGCATCTATTTTCCACACCGTATTGACCCAGGCTTCATGTTGAGCTAGAGGAAATATACCGATCTTAACGTTCTCGATCTGTGCCACGGACTCTAACCAACCCTGCACTTCGGCATCATCATCGTCATCATTTGGTAACCCAATGATCCACTCGTTGATGTGACTGTGTATAATGTCCGAAGCACATCGGTTTCGCTGGAAATCAACGAGATCTTCCAGCGGGGTTTGACCTGTTTCACTCGTCTCCAGGACGAGTCCAAAAGCGAACGAAGTGTGCGAGCCATCAAATGGGTCTGTCGAGTTGTGTGCAGAACTTGTAAAGCCTATCGCTTGATTGATCAGTGAGATATTCAAGATGGGTCTTTATGTTGAGGGCTGCAAAAGGGCTCTACCTTGATCATTCGACCAAATCTTCACCACCAAGCGATATAGGCTCCCTTGCTCTACTTGAAAGGTCACATAAGGGCGTCTTTGGGTTCTCATGTCGAATTCCATGAGGCATGTTCGGGAAAAAGTCCTTGGCGGCTCGAATGCCATTTTCGATGCCCAAAGAAAGTGAATATGAAAGACCGAACCACTCTTCCAAGCAAGAAAAAGCTTGATATTTGAAGCCGATTTGATCGTCCTATATCGGCACGAGACGGTGGAAGATCGGATATGAAAGCAACGCGAGAGAGTGAAAGAGGATGAACGAGATGAGTTTGTGCTTATGGGGGTTTCTTGCCACAATCTGCTAAGACATGCCACTCGACCCCCCACGTTTTCGACAGCTCTTCCATCAGACCACGTACGCGTCTTGGCTGCATGTTTTGCCTTGCCGTTCATCCCGTTCATGTCGCATGTGTGCTTCGCGTTACTTCCGACCCCAGCGACGCACAGTTCTCAACTGATGCTAGAGCTGTTGGATGTCTGCGGCACACGGATTAAGCTGCATCTCTGGTCCAGTGATAGGGCGCTGCCGTAGCCTTCAAATCAATTTATGCGGAATCCCTGCACGAGGAACTCTCTGATGCTACATCAATCAGGCTCTGCATTATACATCATCCAGGATCGTCGGATTTCGGTGGTGGAATGAGTCTCCCGACCCCAGCTTCATGAGAAAACGGGGATGCGCGGGGCAGCAAGGCTGCCGGAGTGTTGAAGTAAAAGTGCTCGTGAATTATCGTCGACATAATCCAACCTGAGAGGCGTGAAAAAAAGATTTGAATATGTTAACCGATGGAGCGCATTCGTAAAATTTCAAATCGTGATGCTCATCGCGTTCTCACGATCTATCTTAGGCCTTCTCGAACTGAACTGTCACCATGACATTCAGGGGGATGACTGGGTGAAGTATGCGATCAGTGTTGGTACGTATCTGACGAAACATCGAGGCGGACCATATTGCGAATGAGATGCAAAGCTATGCTAGATTAGGCTGCTCATGCATGTTGCGGACCAACCGAGTCCAAAGACCGGGTGTTGAGTATGATACATGGGGAGTGGGCTGACTTCCTATAGGATGGCTTGTTTGGTTGGGTGAGGGGTAGTGGGAGAATCCTCTGTAAGGCAACCGGCAGCAGCCTGGAAAGAAAACGAAACGTTCTCCATATGATGATGACCCATTGCAGTCAGATATCAGTGGGTGAGAGGCCTTGATAATCTCAACTTCTGTAAAGAAGACATTGTCAGTTACATCGCAAACCCAAAGACGATCGTTGGTTCACAGCTTTTGAAACTGAAACACGCCACACTGTACATTTATCTTACGATATTGCCTCTAAAATGAGGGCATCCGGCACAAAGCGAGCTTTGCTCATCGGCAGTCCGCTGCATGGTCTGCGTGGAACCAAAAACGACCTCCATGCGATGACAACCATTCTCAAAAGCCGCGGCTTTGAAACGGAAGGCTTTCATGTCAAAAAGCTCTTCCAAAGTGATGCCACTCGTCAGAAGATTCTCGATGCGTGGGAAGCTCTCATTCAAGATGCCTCACGGGACGACACTGTCGTAATCTACTATTCCGGCCATGGAGTTTGCGTCGAATCCGACGTAGCAACTGAAACGTCGAGATCATCGTCCAAAATTCAATTCATTGTTCCGTTCGACTTCGACTGCAGCCTTGAGAAGTGGAACGGAATATCCGATGGTGAACTCTCTTTATTGCTCCAAAGAACAACGGCGAAGACGAGAAATGTTACATACATTCTCGACTGCTGCCATTCTGCACGTCTCGGTCGCAAATTTGGCGAGGCACAATTCGAGCCAAAAGCATTTGGGTTAGACAAATCTCTGTATACAGACCTTGCCAGAATTTTAGACAGGTTGAAACAAGAGGGCAGGCTTACGGAAGATCGTCTGGACACCAACCCTTATGCAGTACGTATAGCTGCTGCAGCGACCGATGAGACCGCTTGGGAATATCACAAAGATGGCAATAGTCACATGGGTCTCTTGACAAGGAGCCTTGCAAGGGCTATCTTGAAGTTCAACGACACTAGATCTTGGAGAGATATCATGCTCGAAGTGGGTGTGCTGGTTGAACAAGACTACCCGGGAGGCAATCAGCACCCTCGATCGGCAGGACCTGATAATCGAAGACCTTTTACACTTGAGACGACGGCTACTGGAGCGCTTCTCGCGACTATATGGAACGACGAATACACAACAATCCGCGGAGGGCGAGTCAACGGCGTTCAGAAGGGCGACACTTTCGCAATCACACCTTTCGGGCTCCAAAGTCAATCTGGACTCCAAACAATAACAGGGAGTGTTTCAAATGTCAACGCATTTGCCGCTATCCTTAGCCCAACTCCAAAAACTTCGGATTTTGGGTCTGCGAGGGAGTATGTGATGGGCCATGCAGTTCTGGAAAGAAAACAGAAGCGATGGCCAATTCGACTTTCAGAAGATATTCAAAGTCAACCAAATATTGATGCGCTACTAGTTCAGTCTATATTTCTGAGACGATGCCTACCACACGAACAGCCGTTTTTGAGCATTCGAAATGAACGGGATCGAGTGATTCTGTACAGCAATCTAGGTGTACAACTGGCCGCCGAGCGCCTAAGCAATGAATCCAGCTCGGGGGACGCGTTCGGGAGACTCTTCCATCACGCAAGAGAATACGTTCAAGCCCAGAATATTTTGTCCCTCCGGTCAGGCGTTGATGATGAAGCTTTCGGCGACAATGTGGAGATAGAAGTGGGGCTAGAAATTGGCGGCGAGAAAAGTCTCCTTGCACGTCGAAGTGAATCGTTAGTTTTGAAGACCCAGCTCGCGATAACATGCTCATGAAACACCAGGTTTCCAGCAGCGATGATCGACATAGCGTCTTTGATACTCAGAGAGAACGACCGATTGTATATCTCCATCAAGAATACGAGCCCAAATAAGGTCTTCCTGAACGCTCTCAGCGTAGACGCCGCTGGGAAGACTACATTGATAACGAAGGCATGGGAAAGGGGGATTGGTCTGACACCATCACGCTCTCATACTCTTGCTGTCAAGACGTTTCCCCTGAGGGGGATACCGATGCGGTGGCCAAAGTCGATCCCGAGGAATGGGCATGTCGAGGAAAGCCTCGTTTTTGTCATCACGAACGAGGAAGTTGACCTGAGGGATCTTGACGCATCTTTAAAGGGCTATATTCGTCGTGGAGCTGACGATGCAGCAGCAAAGGATAGCGGCGTCGTTCCATATGATGTGGAACATGTGCGATATCATCTTCGACCGTCTTCATCGTCTTAATTATTCAGAAGCCCACCTGTACACCTTAGGAAACAGGTGGAACTGCGGCTGTAGTTCTTATGGTTATACTTTGTCTATTCCTTGTATGTTTGTGTTTGATTCATGTTGGTCTTTCTCACCTGACTCAAAACAACGCTTGCATAACTATTCATTTGACTTACTAGGTTTTTACTAAGTTTGCCCCTACACCGGATGAGCGAGACACAACGCTGTTTATTGAGTCGCCCAATCCAAGCAGGCACTCGTCCTTGAGCAAACTGGAAAGCTGCCTGATGGATTTCAATTGGCCGAAGTCGCCACCGCCAGTTCTATATCGTGTCTCTTTCTCCGTGTGCATCTCCACTATGTATGACACCTAGTTCGTGACCCCTGACTGTTCGTTTGAAGTCAAACGTCGCTGTCACACAAACTAAAGACTGGTGGGTCGTCTGAAGATGAGTCTTAGCATCGATGAGCTGCAAAAGACCGACAGTCTACTTTAAATTCTGCTGCGTCACGACAGTTGCAGTTTGCTAACCATTAAATATCAAATGACAATGGCCTTCCACGCATGAGAAGCTCGTCTTGCTCAAGTAATCTTTTTATGTGCAAATCTTCATGAGCAGACGTCGAGGTGCATTGCCTACTCGTGGAGAGGCTCGTGGAGAGACCAACGCGGTGTGGCATTTGACTCGGCAGTTGGCTATTACGAAGCAGTGCCTCAGTTCAAAACCGTTGCGTAAGTGCCCAGGGACGCCTGGTCTGCATTATGGTCAAGCTCAATGATCCGTGCGGTCTGCGGGCAGACCAGTGGAACGTGTGCGAGCCGCATCCCTGCTCACTTGATCTTGCGTTTCATCAAGCGGCTTGCCACATTGATATAAGACGACAGCCAACCTCCCGTCCAAAACTTTGCTGTTACCTCTGATCTACATCCTTCAGCGTAGCGCAGTCGTCTTCAAAATATCGTCCCAATGCATCAATCTACCGTCGCCCTCCTGGTGAGCAACGCCCTGGTGGCTTGGGCTGCGACTCCCTCAGGCTTTCAACCGGCGTCCAATGTCGACCTCATTGTTGCCTATGGAGACCAGTCGGCTCTGAACGGTGTTGATCTGGCGAAGAGCCGTAAGTTCCAGCAGACTACACGACATCAGAACGACTCGGACTAACCGGACTAGTTACGCAACAGGAGCCTACCTTCGGCACGACCGAGCCGTTGACCGGAAAGAGCTATGCCATCATCATGGTTGACGTCGATATTCCGACCAACAACCCCCCGCAGACCGGTACCTTCCTGCACTGGGCCCAGACAGATCTGACTCCCGTCGCGCAGACGACAACAGTCAAGCTCAACGACGGCGAGCGCACCATCCACACTCTGACGACCAACGCGGCTGCGATTGCAGACTACAAGGGCCCCTCGCCACCGGCAAGAGTTCCCCTCACCCATCGCTATATCGAGATTCTGGTCGACACCAGCGACATTACTGCAGAGGGAACCGCGGCATTGCAGGCCCTGTCGACCCGCGGAGGCGTTCAGGTCAACGATGTGCTCACTCAGGCGGGACTGGCAAACAAGGTGGTGGCCGGCAACTTCTTCACCGTGACCAACCCCGGACCTGCGGCGAACGCTGCGAACTCGAGGAAGGACAACAGCAGCAGCACCGCTCCCACCGGAGGTGTGACGCCGTCTGCGAGGCCCACAAACATTTCTATGGGACAGAAGTCAACAGGCTTCTCCACCACAACGGTCTTGAGCGCGGCAGCAGCCGGCCTTCTGGCTCTCTTCGCCAGCTCGTTCTAAGCGCGCAGGTTGGGCCGGTGGACACGATGTGTTGGGCTGGAGGAATTTTCTGACGCCGGTATCGCCAGATGAGAACGCGCGGCGCGCGTGCTGCATGTTGTTTCTGAGCGTCGTATATCGTCTCAGGTAATTCATAATACAAGCCAAGTTTCATCTGATTGTCGAGTGCGTGCCCCCTGTTTCACAACGGCGATGACACCGAGAGGCACGGACCGCCGAAGCGGGGCCGGCAACGGCGAACGGTAGACGGACATCGTCCGAGTTCGCGCCGAAAATTGTAGCTACCTGACTTGGGGGGTGTAAACTGTCCTTGCATTAGTTGTTGAATTGGTTCTTAGCAGCTACCCATTGACAGCTTCATTGTTTTCATCAGCGTTTTCCCTACCCTGGCCTGCAACTCCATTCTTCCGGGCCTGTGATGATGAATGTGATGAAAGTCTCAGGAGAAACAACGGGCCTTCCGAAGTCGATGATTTTGTATGTGCGGTTATCCTCCCGATGGGAGGTGACAACCATAATCATGCACGTGTCTCATTTGTCAGTTCAATAGGGAGGATTATCGTCTAATGATTTACTTTCTGTCCTCAATGTGCCTGTGCTAATTATGACCCCGTACCTGATATGTCAAATGTGAATACCATGAGTGGATGTTGAGGACAATCATGAAATCGGTATGAGCTTAATCGAGGCTCATTGAATATTCAATGCATCAATACGCCATTCAGTATGTTGCATCAGCTGCAGCAAATTAATACAATCATTATTATGCTTGAGAAGTGTCTGATTCCCAAGAAGCCTAGATAGGCCTTATTACGTGGGGAACTTGACTGGCGGGCGATTTGCATAGTCTAACAACAGAAAATCTGTCCACTTTCCATCTAGGGGCATTGGGTGGAATCCGTGAGTGAGAAGTTGTCGAGCAAGAAATCGGCGTCAGCGGGGTTGGCGGTGTCCGCGCAAGAAATCGTAACTTGAATGATCGGGTTGGCGTTGTAGGCCTGATTTGGAGTGTAAATCTGATCCGACAGTTGGTACTGACCTGCGGGCGTATTGCCCACAATGATGGTATTTCCCACTGAATATGTGCCAGGCATAGTTAGTGTCAACTTGCAGTTGCCGTAACTTCCGGTCTGTGTCAGAATACCCAGGCCGTAGTAAAACTTTAGACGGTAGGGTCTGCCGATTACCAAGCCAGAAGGCCCAAAAAGAAACTGCGCAACAAAGCCAGATTGAACGCCGGCGTATAATGGAGTAAATCTACATCAGGAGGCTAAATGTGAGTATTTTGAAGTGGTGTTGACCCAGAAAGCACTCACGCATATTTATTGCCGTCCTGCGGGTGGTCGTACACACCGACAACGCCGGTCTCAACAGTTGTTCGATAAAAAATCCAGGAGCTTGCACCATTCTCAAAACTAGGATTTTGAAGAATGTTCACTGGGACGCAAGACGAACTGCTCGATGCATTTGACGATGTAGTTCTCGTAGAACCTCTGGACGTAACCGTAGACGTTATGGAGCTTGGTGATGTGCTGCTTGACGATGAAGTGCGCGATGACGATGAAATCGATGATGAGATGCTTGACGGGGTAGCACTTGTAGAACTTGCGAACGTGAATGTAGACGACGAGAGGCTTGACGATGAGCTGCTTGACGATGAGCTGCTTGACGATGAGCTGCTTGACGATGAGCTGCTTGACGATGAGCTGCTTGACGATGAGCTGCTTGAAGATGAGCTGCTCGCTGATGAGGTGCTCGCTGATGAGGTGCTCGCTGATGAGGTTCTTGATGACGAGGTGCTCAATGACGAAGTGCTTGAAGATGGCGTGCGTGATGATGACGTGCTTGAAGAAGATGTGCTTAGAGATGTGATGCTCGACAGGGTGGTGCTCGTCGACGTGCTGAACGATGTGGTGCTCGAAGAGGGGGCGCCTGACGATGTGAATGTTGCGCTGGGCAGTGTGGGCGAGGTGCTTGGTAAAGTCGTGCTGGACAGCGTGCTGCTTTGTGCCGTGGTCCTGGATGTCCTGGATGTTGTTGGTACCAGGCACTTGTCAGAGAAAGCCGCGAGGGTTCAATGCTCGAAAGTGTGGTGTTTGAGAAGTTAAACCTGGAAGAAGTTCTGCTTGAGGCGGCTGTGGGGTCATTCGATGGCGTGGGTATGCTGATGGGTATTGATAATCTTGAAGACGTTGAGAGGACTGAAGAGCCTGGGGTATCAAGAGTCACTGGTCCCGAAATACTTGTGGTGATTGCTACAGAAGCAGTGATGCTAACCGGATTGACTGAGATTCTGGGGGTTGTGGATACGTCTGAGCTGACTGCCGCCGAAGGAGTCGATACAATATTGGAAGGAGCGAGAATGGTGTTACTGCTACTGCTTGTTGTGGGGGTCACCAAAGCCAACAAGAACTCGAATTGAAGGTCGTTCGGAATCGATTGGGCACCCACCAGTGCGACCGCAGCGCAAATGGCGGCCAAAACCCTGTGAGAACCCATTTAAGAGAATTGATCGAGCAGATGCGCCGGCCAAGGAAGTACTTGGCGGTCTTCCGAAGCAACTGTATTTAGTATCCGAAAACTTCGTTCGTGGAATCGTGCGTCGGTTAGGAGCCAATCCCTGATGTTTGGGATGATCGATCCTGCCTGCCGGGATTGGATCATAGATCAGGGCTGAAATGATGCCTGCAGCAAGCGTTCGGTTGTTTACATGCCAAAGGCAGTGGCAGGAATCTGTCACACGCGGGATACCTCTGAGCAGGCGTTTTCTCCCTCAGAGATTTAAGACATGGCGGGGCTCCGATAGGCTGAGCTGGACGGCTCCATTCCTAGCTTTCCCAATCAACATGATAATCAGTGTAAGGAAAGAATGCAATTTTATCTGTCTCTGTTGTACGCTCATATTTTGACTGGCCCGCCCCTGATAAAGCCAAACCAATCTCCACGCCAAGGACGTGTCGTTCGCGCCTCGGCACAGGAATGATGCTTGGCCTCGGCCCGCTCTGGGAGGACTGTTTATCATCTCAGCGCTGGAGCATTAGGTCCGCGGATGTCTGCTGGGGCTTGAAGCTACTTGAAAGTGGAAGCTGAAGTTGAAATAAGCTTATTAGGCTGACCTTCAAGGGTGTCAAGACACAATCACAAGCTGGTGCATAATTGTCCTGAAGTTGGAGGAGGGAGAAAAGCGCCACTCGCGCATTGCCACGCATTTCTCACCCGAAAGTTTCCCTAACAAGATGCACCTAATGACGTTTCGCGAAAACACAAACTCCTTGTATTGCAGAGTCCCGCTTTACTGGCGAGGTTATGTGGACGACGGGCAGACAGCACCGCTTGATGAGAAAAGTGGTAATCATCGCCGACAGCAACGTCTGCCACGGATATGATGTTGCGATATCTCCCCAGAATGCTTAGAGCTTAATCACTTACAAAGATCAAAATACAGAGGAACTTTCTAAGGAAAATTCGACTTCTGCAGTTCCCCTTTTCTCATGCCAAAGCAAAGTTGAACAGACGCAAACAATATAAACACGACAATTTCTTCTACCCACAACCCAATCACGTCTCAAAAGCTCACGCGTTCAACATGGGCGGTGGTGGGGACGTCGATGTGGCGTCGCAACGTTGTCAACGACTGCTAAATCGGATCTGCCTATCAAGCCTGTTGCTGCATGTAGCTGGCGTTGCCAGGCTGTCATGCATACATAATCTAGGCGGGTCGTCCCCCTTCGGTGTGGTCTTACAGCTGTCGAGAATACGACACATCAGAGTGGCCGACGTGGCCGAATACTTCAGATGTTCAGGGCACAGACACTTCATGTGAACGGCGGGAGAAAAGGCAAGTTTGTGGGTCGCCTCAATGGCGAGCGTTCTTGGGGATTGCCGCGTATCACTTGACTAGCATGAACTGAAAGATGGGGCCATCCAGCCTTTGCTTGGCCTGTTCGTAGTCGTAACTTTTCCGGCGGTAAGTCCGTTTTGTTCAAAAGAGGCGACCTGCCTCGAAGTCCGAGATCCATCACATTCTGCTTGAAGATCATTCCCGCGCCTTCCCATCACTCACTCATCCTGTTCTTCCCTTCAACAGAATGGCTGCCGACACTTCCAACACTTCAACGCCAGACCTCGTAGGCTGGACCGCAGGCCCAGATACCCACGGTACTCTTACGCTTGTGTGGAGCTGTCTGCTCACAATCTTTGCTTGCACATGGACTGTGCTACACCTTAATGTTCCTGGCCGATACGAGGGTTCGTTCATAATTTTACCCCGTAAAATAAAGTGGATGGCTATCAACATTCTCCTTCCGGAATTCATATTTGCTAAAGCCGTTTGCGACCTGCGCCTTGCACTCGATGAACTCCGCGGCTTTGACGAATACGTACGACAGAACGAAGAACGGCGGGAGGAACTGCGCTGCAAATGAACCGTGTCTGCCAGAGATATGTGCCACGAGTGGTCCTGGGAGTTCGAATACCCGATGTGGGCGCAGTGGCTATACCGACTACTGGGACTTACGCCTCCGCGGCAAGATCCCAAACAAAAGCCGCTTCCGCGGTGGATATTGAATTTTCGATCCTTCCTCCATGTCCACGTCAAGTCATCTAATAATCAAACCGACATTGAAGCATAGACTGAGCCCGATCTCAACGGCCATGGGCTCTCGCAAGTGGGAACGGAATCATTCAACCGAATTCAACAAGGTGCGCCTTCAGGCGGCAAACTGCGAAGAAAAAGTTAGAAGGGAAGAAAGACATTCAATCGAATGTAAGCCTCTAGCATCCAGCAAAACATAGAGGCCAACTCCTCAGGAACAGCCCACCCAGTACACTGGAGAACCGTCCAGAAGTGGACTGTAGTACATTCTTGATATGTTCAGATGGGTGGAATCCTGTACCCAGAACCCTTCCGAAAATCAAAAGATGCTGAACCTACCTACTCCTGCTGTACAGGTTTCATGTTGACTTGCGACAACGGCTTTATTCCCCCAAGCAAACAACATCCCTTCCATCAACTAACTCTAGGTGATAAAGAAATCAAAGAGAAAAGCAAGGCAGATTGGGTTCTGAAAGGAATTGCCGTTGCCCAGGTCTCATGGCTGATTTTGAGTGTGGTTGTCCGCAGCGTCATACATCTTCCAATTACCCAGCTCGAGATCGCTACGATCTCGTCTGCTTTTATGGCTATAATTAGCTATGCAGCTAACTGGTGGAAGCCAAAAGACATTTCCCACGCGACAATCCTTCAAATCCCAGCTTCGAGTGTGAATTTGTCCTGGCCTGAGGTCTATCCTCGGTCGTTCCTGCTTCGCCTTCTGTCACCGACAAAGTTGCAATACCCGCTCATCTCTAATATGAATAAGCCACAGCGAGTTCCAAACGATTTTGTGTGGATGGATGGTCATAGCCCCCTCATGGTCATTCTCATGGCCATCTCCTCCATTGGCTTTGGCGGATTGCATTGTCTGGCGTGGAATTTCAAGTTCCCCTCTGAAGCTGAGCTCCTTTGCTGGAGGGTTGCGGGGGTTATATTTGCTGTGTTACCTGGGGTGACATTAGGAATCAGCCTTGTGATACATTTTCTGTCTACAACTTATGTCGACCACAAACTCGTATCCCTTTTATTACGCAAATTGGAACCATTGAATGGGCTCCAGTCAGACTTTTGGGAAGGCATTAAGAACGTCACATGGGACGGTCCTGCTTGGTGGTCCCAAGAAGCAAGACTCTTTCTCATAAGATCCCCAGCAGGATCAAGAGACTGGGTTAACGAGCCATCAAAAGAAACAATAGCAGAGCAAGCAAAACCTGAGCCTGATGAGATTCCATATGAGCACTATCGGGGATTTCACAGTGAATTGCAATCGTTCTTAAACTGGTGGGAGACAGCTCGAATGAAGGGCCCTTCTGTGGACGGGTCCCTCTGGAATTTGTTGTTCAGAGATTGTTCTGAGATGCAACATTAATCAGAATCAAAAGGGGTGGTAGACTTTTGGCCAGATTATGAGGACTTCATTAAGAGGAAACACAACATCCCCACCCCAAACATCCCTGACACTAGCTGCATCGGCTTGATACTTCGTGCCTACTGCGAAACAGTGGAGCAGCTACCCGCGGTGGAAAAGGTTCCAAAAGGTATGCGAGAAGGCATCGCTTATCTTACCCATCATCAGCGGCGTCGTCTACATAACCGCACGTTTGATGATTCTGGTCCTTCTGTTTACCTGCCTCAGAGAGACACTGGCAGGTGTCTACCAGGTAACGCCTTGGGTCAACTTTCTGCCGAACTTTTCTTAAGCAAAGCCATCTGTCTTACGCCAAACCTTCGTGGCCGCTACGATTTCAATTTTAGAGATTCTGATCAGACGAGAAACTTTGGCTACCGAGGAACAGCAATCTAGCGGGGGGCTACCAGGTGTTGAAAGGTGGATGAGAGCGGACTAGGGGAAGAAGTATAGGCATGTGGTGATGCGCGGAGTCGGTAAGATTTTCTGTAAGCCCGGTTTTGTAATGCGTGGGAGACATTAAAGGGATGATGATGATAGCTGAGGGGAAAATTTGAAATTTGTTGATAGTTCACCTCCTCGAGGCTTGAGATAGTTGCAGTACCGCGCCCAAAGTCCATTGCTAACTAATTCAACACTGTCACACACAACTACGAATTCTAATCATGTTGATTCTGGGTAGTATTGTTCGTAGTGAAGTGAATCTGCCTGCCCCAGGCAGCAGTCCCACAAATAACCTCACCTTTTCACCTCACCTCACCTTTGTCCTCCGCCCATCCAGGTGCCACCCCATCAACCCTCACGGTCTCACCACAAACACACGTTCCTTCTTTTATAGTCAAGGTAGCCGTCTAGTTTTCTCGTCCTGGCCGGCCGCATCCGTAACTCCAGAGGCCGTCTTTAGCCCAGCGGCAAGTCAAAGTGAGGGTAGAAACCAACCTTCGGGTGAGTTTCATAGGTTCGAATCTCCCTTGGGACTCTGCACCCCAATCGAGATTGTTCCGAACTTTTGCTCTTTTTGTCAACTATTGTCTGCTGAACTGACTTCGTACTTTTTTTCTTTTGAAAAATGTTGGAAGGGGTTTTGTGGGTGTAGGTTGCACCTGCTTGCGATAGTTTGCTACGTTTGAAATTGAAAACTTTTATATCTTGGTCTTCCCTTGAATGGTTTTTTTCCCCCTTCAAGATAGAAAAGAATCTGAAGTGCTTCTGTGGTTTTCAGTGGAGCTTGTTCTGGTTTGCTACGAAGCGGGAAAACTTTGATCTTCATGGAATTAAAAATATCTAAGGAAGCGTTTTCTGTTACATCCAATCGTACATGCGGACGTCAATAAGCCCGAGAAAGAATCGCTTTCCTGCGTCTAGTAATCATCCTCATTCTGCTCGTCGCCCGATTCGCCCTCCTCAGCCATGTTCATAAACATCCCGCTCTCCTCGTCCTCGTCTTCTTCTTCATCCTCCTCATCGTCGGTATCATCAACGCCAATAGTTCCTTCCGTCTCAGGCTCCGACTCAGTCTCGATGGGGTTCTTGCGACGATGGGCCATGAGCTTCTCGGCGAGCGACATCTTTTTGGGTGGCGCATCCTCCTCTGAGCTTTCCTCTTCTTCAGACTCCTCGTCGGATATTGGGTTTTGTTGGCGGTTGCGTTGGAGCTTCTCAGCGAGCGAGAGCGGCTTCTTTGGCCTTGACGGTTCCTCTTCCCCGTCCGACTCATCCTTGGCCTTATCGTCGCCAACCTCTGCGCCGCCCTCATCTTCGTCTTCTTCTTCATCGTCTGATGGTAGTACCCGAGCGCGTCTGCCAGCCGGTCGTGCAAGCTTCTCTGCCTCGTCCTCCTCATCTTCATCCTCGTCGTCGGATACGACCACGCGTCGCCGCCGAGTTGTGCTTTGGGCCGGCTGTTCCTCCTCATCGTCTTCGTCGTCGATCTCGGAATCGATTTTGATGAATTCACGTCGTCGCCTTCTGGCTGGGGGTTGTGAGTCTTGTGCCTCGGTCTCTTCCTCCTCATCATCATCATCATCAAGGACCACCAGAGGCCGACCACCTCGCCCACGGGGACGATCTGCTGCAGCTTCCGGCTCGGGACTTGAGAACTGTGCCGCTGAAGCATCGCCGTCGACAAGCATGCTGCCGCCGTCCTCATCTCTCAGCGGTGAGAATCCTCCAAAGTCAGAAGCGCCACCATCCTCCTCATCTTCGCTTTCCTGGCTGCCGTCGATCTCAAGGTCATCCACGTCCGGGTCCTCATTCACAGACTCCTCGTCGATGGTGGCGTCGTCGATACCGTCGCTCTCGTACTCATTCTGATCCGAGTCGTCTTCTTCCGAGGATTCCCCTACGTCGTCGCCTTCTTCGTCTTCATTGGGGTCGTACTCCCGTGCGTCGCCGTGCTTTGCCAAAAATGCGGGAAACCTGTCCGCGGCGTCCCAACCGAAGCATGTCATTCGCCAGTACTTGATGTCGCAGAGCTGTTCAAACATGACATCCCACTCCCCGACAGTCTCAGCTTCGAGATCAGGGTCTCCTTCCAGAATCGTCTCCCGGAGTTCGTCGCCGAGTTCGTCCAAACCGTCCATGGCCGCAAACTGCTCAGATGCGTGTTTCGCGGCAAATTCCGGGTGCTTGTCGACATCAGGCCAGCAGTACACAAAGTGCAGGTCTTCGCCAATCCGGCACTCTCGCTGTAACTGCTGGATCTCGTAACGGTGGATCTTGTCCGAAGCGCACCATCGCAGCTTCTTTGGGGGGCGTCCCTCGTTGTGCCACTCGAATTTGTAAAAGTTGATCACCTCGGGAAAGGATGCAAGAGTCTGCATTTCCTTTAGTTGGAAGTAGTCGATATCTGCAGCGAGGTGGAGCACGTTTTCTGAAAACCCTGGGATGACGGCGTTGTGAGCCCAATCCTTCCTGTGGCCGTTGATGTGCACAATGTCGCGCTCCTTGTTGAAGTGCACGATCCGGCGGCCCTCGCGGATGGCTAGCGTGTCTGGGAACGCCTTGAGCGCGATCTCGCGACTTTCCTGGTGAAGACCTAGCATCGCGTCCACCGCCCGGATCTGGTTATCCAGGGTCGCGCTTTCCCAGATAACATCTTGCGTCGGCGAGCAAACCATCTGGAAAGAAAGAACGCGCGGTGAACGATCGAGGTCCGGACAGAAGTACTGCCAGATGCGATGGCGCAGCTCGATAGGCAGCTTCTTGAACTGGGTGAAGACGGCCTTGGGTTGTGCCTTGCGGCTGCTTCCTGCCCCTAGAATGTCGTCGTAGTCTGATTCCTCATCGGATGAGTCGTCGCTGGACTCGGAGTCGCTGTCGCCTGATTCGGAAGCCTCGACGTCGAGGAAGCCGGTGCCCTGATCTTCAACCTCAGAGTCGACGGAGTTTTCCGAGTCGGATGCATCGTTCTGCACGAGGCCGACGCCCTCGGTGGCGGATTCGTCTGATGAGTCTGTCATTTTTCGTGGATGCTCTGATGAAAGTTGAAGGCCTTTCGTCGTTTGTTGAAAGGTTTTTAGTTGGGCTGGCTTGTCGTCTGGGTGAGACGCGGTTTGGTCGTTGGCGCCGGGCGCCGAGTGGAAATTTGTCACGCGCTGGCAGTGCCAGAGCACGTGACCCTGATGGCTTTTTTCTCTCCCTTGCTGGCCCCCCACCTGGCGCCGGCTGCACGTCGTCGGTGCACTCACTCACTCACTCAATCTGCCTGGAAGCATTATGAGATTCTTTAATGCATCCTGTTCAACTCATCCAATCTTCATGCTGACGCGAATACAGTTGCATGGATGAGTTCAGTTGATGACTGTTGCTATCTTAGAGTTTATTAGTAAGAATCTTCTCTTTCTAGAATACTTAAAGGGTATGAAAAAAATCAAAAAGTGAAGGAAATAAATGAGAGAAAACTGGGTAAAGACGACCAAATCTAAATTAGAGCATTCAAAATAAGCGCTGTGAAACTCATCTTCAGTGGCTTATCAAAAGTTTTATCATGAGACTCAAGCTGCCGAAGCAGCAGGTCGCTTGTTGGGCGTATTTTCAGTCTTGAGACCTCGTCGTCTTTCTCACTAGGTACCTTGAACGCACCCAGCGTGCAAGTGACCTTATCAAGTTCTGATTGTTCGCTCAAACGTCTGCTAATCATAATGCAAGTTCTATAAAATAGCCTCAGATGAGTGCACCATTCTTTCAATGCTCAAGTCTCGGAATGCTTCCACGTGTCTCTGCGAGATTACAACGCCTCAGCAACAACGCCCAAAGTCTTGGCTGCCTCCGAGAGGCGTTCCTCCTTCCACTCAACGCTCTCCTCTGGCAGCACGAAACTTGAGTATGCCTCACCCGCCGTCTCAATCAAGGTCTCAATGCCAGGGCCGTTCGTAAACACAATAGCCCTTACGAACCGGGTGCCAAAGTCGAGCGTAAAGGCCTGTCCGGCAGAAACCAGGAGAGTCTGTCCCTCGCGGACCTCGGTCCATTCTCCAGACTCCTTCAGCTTGATCTTGAGCACACCCTCCTGGACACAGAAGCAGTGGTCCACTGTCGGGAACGTCAGCCACCTTGAGAGAGGTGACTTTGCGTACAGCTTAGAGGACTCGAGGCTGGTAATGGCGAACTTGCCGCTGCACTGCGATGCATTGATGAAAGGGCGCGACAGAACACCGCCGAGAATGTATCTGGGGCCGGTGTTTGCGCGGAGGAAGTAGGGCTCCAGAGGTCCCGGGAGGACATTTTCGCTCTCCTGCCAGTCTGAGACCTCGGGAGGCGTGTAGTTGCGCTCAAAGTGAACATCAAAGCGGTCCTTTGCGGCCATGACCTTGGGAATCAACAAGCTCTTAAGGTCACGGTTGTCGTTTTCTGGTACGATAATGCCCTTGTATGTCTCTCCGACATAGCGGAAGAAGTCTACCCAGTCACCAGGGGCGACCAAGCCCAAGGTTTCCGTATGAGGGCCCAGGAGCTCAGGGTTGTGAATAACTTTCTATTGATTGTTAAAATTCGACCTCTACACGGAATGGGTTTCGGGCGGGTGTGACTTACAGGGGGAACATAGGCAAAGTCACCAGGACCCATGATCCTGCACTTGTCACCGTTCCATAGCTTCAAGTAGCCCTTGGTAACGAGGAAGACGTCGTGAGCTTCCGCGTGCCAGTGGAAACCGGGCGCATCAGAAAGGACGGCACCGCTGGAGAAGACGGCGATGCCACCGTTTGTCTGTTTTGAAGATGCAAGAATTCTGAAAACGCCCTTGCTGCCGGGGATCGTGACGCGCTCGCCCTCGAGCTGGTCAATGATGTACGTCGTCCTGGCGTCAGGGGGAGTCGAGTGGACCGGAATGCTCATGTTGGGCAGTAATGTCCAATAATCAGGGAAAGAAATGCCTGTTTGCGGATGCGGTATGTGTGGGGTGCAAGGGGGCTGCAAGCTGATTGCACGTGTGAACGAGTTGATGAGGGGATGAGGGGATGAGGGGTCAATTGTTGTCGATGAGTGCTTTTGGGGCGCTTGTCGAGCCTCTTTTTAGAGCTGCGTTTCCCCGCGTTCGCAACGGTCCTGGAGCCGAAATAGTGAGGGGACGCCCACCGGGACCACATTGCCTTATTGCCCTCTAACGTCGGGATATCAGAGCGGCGTCTGCGGATGCTCGGAATTCCCGACAATTTCCGGAACACCCGCGGAACATCCGCCGTCTCGAGGTCGAGTTGCCACAACTCCACACCCCGGAATGCCGGCTCGGAGGGAATTCTCACGAAGGTCCACAGGCGACGATTTCTTGTTCAGCTATCTAGGTTGTCCCCGCCGCACTATTACCCCGGACTTTAAGACTGGAATTGTATCCGAGATTCCTCTTTGCAGAAAGATTCCCGTATGAAAGCCAAGCACGACAGCAGCCATGACGACCCAGCCCCCCTTCCGCGCAGTTTACAAGACCATAGGTCAGCAAGAGATCGATGTGGATGTCTACCTGCCCCCGCCGGCGGAGGCCAAGGCATCGCATCCGGTTGGTATGTTCTGACCCATGACTGCCTTTTACAGCACCACAGGAGTTTCTTCGGACTAATGTGGGCCTTGCCAATAGTCATCAACATCCATGGAGGAGCCTTCATGCTAGGCTCCTCAAAGATGGTCAACAGAGACCAAGTAGATGACTGTCTCAGCAGAGGATGGATCGTCTTGGCTCCTAATCACCGGCTCTGTCCCCAAGTCTCCTTGCTCGATGGACCCATGAGGGACTGCCGTGACCTTCTTGCTTGGGTGTATGATGGCAGTCTGCAAAAGGCCGTTGATACCCAAGCTGAGGGGTCATATGCTATTGACACCGATCACGTATTTGCGTTTGGAACTTCATCCGGCGGCACACTTTCGCTTAGCTTGGTAAGTTCATGCAGCTCAGAACTAGACTTCAGAGGGGGCAATTCTCCAGATTAGCGAGGTGACACATGGCGCTGACGAGATGAACCAACTCAGGGGTTTGGGGTTCCCCGTCCTGTCGCTGGAATTTACGACATGTATGGCCCAAGCAACTTTACAGATCCGTTCTGGACAAAGAGGCTCGAACATGTCGCTGCTAGACTTCCCTCAGGACTGACTGAGGAGTTCCTAAACAAAGTGTTTGATGAGGACCCGGTGCCTATCCTGGGTGGCGTTTCCCTCGAAGGACAGGCCCCGGGTCCTCCGAACTTTGACGACCCGCGACAGGCGTTTGCGATGACGCAAATCGCCAATGGCAACGTCATGAACACGATAGTCCCATCCCATAATTGGGACGAGGTTGACCCCATAAGAAACATCAGCGCGTCCTTCCCGCCGACATTCATAGTCCACGGGCAAGCGGATACAATGGTCTCCATTGATCTAAGCAGGGAGCTGTTTAAGACTTTGCAAGAAAAGGGGGTCAAATCTGTTTTGAGGGAAATTCCGGGCGAGGAACATACCTTTGCGGCGAAGATGAAGGTCGGATCTCAGACTTGGAACCTCCAGCGCGAAGGGTTCGATTTCCTTGAGAGCTTGATCAAATGACCCAAATGCATCCAATTCATGAGCTAGTTTGATACAGAATAAGTTAGCTGCATCATGCGTTCTTCGTGCCAACAACCCGGTTCGGAGATCCGGAGAGTGAGACACTCAATTTCTCTTGGGGGTTGTCAGTCAGCCTCTACCCTACCATCGTGATCGCATGGGCTAGTATACAGACCGTCTTGTGTCGTGATTGGCTCCTGCCATCCGAAGTGCTATTGAAAGTCAATTGGCATTGACAGCTTAGGCTTGCGAATACAAAGCAACTCCTGCCCGGATGTCCCGTGCTGCATGTTCTCGGTGCAATGCGTAGCGGGTGGCTGAGGACCCAGCATTTTGACACGACAAGCCCATTTTTTCGGCCTGGTGGAAGTGTGCGATCACCTGCGCAGTTACGTGTCAAGCGTGACAGAACCAAGCTTTGGCCCAATTTGAAGTGCCGATGGGCCAAAGTGGCTAGTAGCATCCGGGGACCCCGCCACCCTAAGCGTTGGAGAAGAGTCTGGGGTGCAGTCGGGACTTCCGGCCGCGAGCCCGGATAGATCCCGGCCAGCGTCGCAGGAACCTGCTTGTCGAGTCGGTGAACTTTGATATAATCCTCCGTGGTCAATCAGCCCATCAACACCTTGCCATCGACTGACAATCTAGATCTGCCAACAACCATATCGGAAGGTCAAGCCGCCGACGCTCCGTCTGAACCACAGATCTTCACAGCAATCCTTGACAGAGACCCTGATACCCTTTGTGCATTGCGCAGGAACGTAAAGCACAACCGAACCAACACCGGGTCGGCGTTACTACTCACCCGACGACAACGCGGTCGAAGCCGCCTACTAGGCGAACGACTCTGAATGATGGACTCTCCTCGCGACGAGGTTCACGACGTCAAGGTGGATGTCACGCACAATGAAGAGGCCCTTCGGGAGGCCGACCGCCAGATGAGTCCGATGGAATGTTTGCGTCGGAATCCAAAGATCGCTCTTTGGACTCTGTACGCCAACGGTAAGTAGTTCGTCCGATCACGGTTGACACTCAACTCTAACATTGGCAACTCAGTTGGATCTTGTCTGGTTGGTTTCGAGAACCTCGCATTGTCAGTATGCTTGGCCATGCCGGCATTCCAGTAAGTCAACAATTTGAATCCCGCTTCGAGAGCTTCATTGAGCCTTTCTAACAACGACGTGTTTCCAGAATGACCTTTGCGTCTGAGGTCAATGGAGCTCTGATCATTCCGGCGTACTGGCAGTCAGCATGGAACGCCATGTACAACACGATGATGTTCTTTGGATCATTCACTGCTGGGTACGTTCAAGATTGGTTCGGTCGCCGAGCGGTCATGGCGATGGCGATTGTCGTTTCCGCATGCGGTATTGCGATCAGCTACGTCTCAGAAACTCCCTCTCAGTTCTTGGGAGGCAAGATTGTCACTGGATTTTCTGTCGGTCTTTTCACCGCGACCACCCAGACGTATGTTTCTGAGATTGCCCCTCTGCCCATCAGAGGCATTGCGCTCTCGGTCAACACCATCATGCTGGTAAGTGTCTTTTACAAGTAGACGCCAGTTGACAGCCACGCTAACTAATCACGAACAGAATTTGGGCTTCCTTATCGCCATCTCATCCAGCTTCTCCCGAACCGCGATCATGGACAAGTCAGCTTTCCGTGTTGTCTTCGCCGCGGCCTGGGCTTTCCCCGGAATCCTCGCCCTGGGCTTGCCATTTATGCCCGAGTCACCGACGTGGCTGGTGCTCAAGAACAAGCACGACAAGGCTCGCCGGTCTCTGGAGCGACTCTCTGGTGCCACAGAAGATATCGACACCCGTTTGAACCAGATCATCGAGAACGTCGAAGCCGAACGCCGTCTTGCCGCCGAGAAGGCCTCCTTTGTGGACTGTTTCAAGGGAACCAACTGGCGCAGAACTCGCATTATCCTCATCTGTTTCTACATCCCTCAAGTCACTGGTGCCGTTCTCTCGTCCAACGCCCCTTACTTCCTTAACCAGACCGGTCTTGACAGCCACACCGTGCTCATGCTGGTGCAAGTCGGCATTGCTGTTGGTCTCGTTTCTGCCATCCTCAACGCCTTCTCGATGATGAGGTTCCGCCACCGCCCGCTGATGTTCTTTGGTATCACCGTGTGCGTCTGCTTGTACCTCACCATGGGCGTCGCGGCGGCCTTCCCGAAGACGAACGCGTCGCTCCTGACCATCGGTGTGGCCCTGATCTTCACATCTATCTCCTACGGACCCGCGGTCGGTGCATCCATGGCTGTTGCAGGCGAGGTCTCCGCCTCGAAGCTCCGTGCCAAGTCCCTTGGCATTGGCGTGGCCTTCTCCTCCTTCGTCAGCACCATCTGGACCATCATTCTGCCGTACCTGTTCAACTCCGATCAGCTCAACATGGGCGGACACATTGGGTGGATCTTCTTCATTATGGGCGTTATCATGTTGGTGGTTCTCTACTTTGATGTTCCAGGAACCAAGGGCCGGACGTTTGAGGAGCTGGACCAGATGTTCGACATGCGCATCTCGGCGCGCAAGTTTGAGAGTTACCAGTTCAACGAGGGGCCGGTGGATACCAAGTGATGCGGGTAGAAACAGGGGGTCCTGTTTTGAGTTGTTTTTGTTCATTTTAGCTACGAAAGTTACGAAACTGCGTTGGGTAGTGCTGGAAACTCTTTTTGCGGGTCTCGCTGCAAGTTCCATCAGTTTTTCTCCATTGTGATTGCTCGTGCATATGACTTGGATCGTAAAGATCGTCCGCTTTGTAACATTGGGGACTTTTGATTTCGGCCCTACTCGCGGGCTGCAACGTCGGCGGCAAAGCCGACGTAAACAAACCGGAATTGCCGGCTGCGAGTGGAGTCGGCCATGACTCTCCTTAGTCTCTATTGGAGGTTTAGTAAGCGGAACAAGGGGTTTTGCCAGAGCTGGCCAGGAGCTCAAGGTCGCATTTGTTTCTGGCATTGAATCTCAGAGTGAAGATCGATACTACTAACATGGATTTCATCTGATATGGAAAGAGAAGAGGACACGAAAATCTTGAGTTGTCATATTGCAGCGAGTTATGGTTGCTGCCCCTGAACGCGTTGGATGAACACCCCTTTCCGCGCACGATTCAGCTCAACATTATTCGCGCATGACCGGCCCCTTCGTGACTGAAGCAGGCTGAGCAAACAACTCAACAGGACGGCTCGGCCAGATCCCCCATGCCATCCACTTCAAAGCCCGTCAAGCCTGCCCCCGGCCTGAGGAGGAGCTGACCAAGCTTACCAATAAACACACATGCAATTCTGTTGAAGAAGGGTTCCGCGATCGCAACCTTACCCCACAACACGCCGTCCCCGCATCATCTTGCCGTCTTATGCCGCTTGTCTTGTGCGGGGAAGTGGAGAATTGATCGTTCCCACGTTCCTGCGGCAGAGCTGCGTTTCGGATGCGCGGCGGGCGTCAACAGCTTCTGCACTTTCTGCATACAACCACAAATCTCTGTAGCACCCCCCGTCTTCCCACATTCGCGAATCGAAGAGTGGCCCAGATTATCAAGCGAAAGACGGGTGTTCCGATACTGAAGTCATTCACGTACGACTCGCAGTCCCACGGGCGGGCAGTTCTCGCTGTTTTCAGTCGCTACAGAGGATGGATTCTGCAGAGGCCCAGCGCACGACGCAGAACTCTGGCATCAAGGTCCGCCGACCCCGGGCCGCTCGAGCGTGCGATCTCTGCAGGGCGAAGAAGAACAAGTGCGATGAGCTGTATCCTTGCACCTATTGCAAGAGTGAGTTTTCCCCGTGAATTTAATCCCGCAATTGAGCTTGTTGTGGCGACTAACGTGAAAATTCAGACCGCGGCGCAACATGTGTCTACAAAGGCCAAGACATGTCGAGGAGGCATTACACACCGGAGTACGTATCTCATCTAGAGTCTCTCTAGTCTAGCGGAAGCTTTGCTGATCCTCGACAGATATGTGAGACAACTTGAAGAACAGGTCAAGAGCCTCTCGGCTCTCGCAGAGTCTCAGAGCCAGAAGGCTCAATCGACAGACGACAACGCCTCGGTATCCGCAACTATTCCCGAAATAGCCGAGGGTTTCTCACCGGCAGACTGCAGCCTCCAACGGCGCCCATCACGAAGCACGACTGTCGGCTCACCGTCAAATGCACGCTCCAGGAATGCTGCTGGCCAAGAGGTTTCCGGCGTCAACCGACACACTCGGAACGTGGAGTTCTACGGAAGCTCGTCGTCAGTTGCTCTTCTGTCACATGTGCAGAGAACCGGTGAAGAGCCTGTGATATCGAACGACTTGGACTCAGATGCGGGAACTTTGCTATCAAATCTTCACAATCCCGCCTTTTCATCACCGGCAGCCGATCAGCCCCAGGGAGGACCAGCTCACACTGGTGAGGAGAGGTCGTCTGCGAGGCCGGTAACTCACTACCCACAATGCCGGCATTTCCTGCAAAGTTTCTTTTCTAGTATACACTATGTGCATCCTATCCTCGACAAGAAAATCTTCTTCGACCGCTGCGAGATGATTTGGTCGAACCAAGAAGCTGCGCGGACGCCATCGAGTTTCATAGCTTTGTATTACAGCATTCTGTCTTTGGGCGCCCTTATTGGAGTGCGAGAGGATGAGCCCATTGATGGGATCGAGAACCTGCAATGGAGCAGGAGGTTCTTTGACGAGGCGAAGAGGCGGTGTGATCAACTGGGAATGGTCACTGATCTGGAAATGGTCCAATGCTACTTCTTTTTGGTGAGTTGATTCGGACGCAGGCTGGTTCTAGGAAGATAATGCTGACAATTGTGAAGGCGAAAGTTTGTCAAAATGAGTTGAACGCGCATTGTGAGTAATTGTACATGTGGACGAGTCTGCGTTGATCTGAGCTGATGAGTTTCGATCAGGGTCGTACATGTACGTTGGACTCGCCGTCAGAACAGCACTGGCAATGGGTATCAACCGCGAACCTGGCCCAGGATGCAAGAAAGATCCAGCAGAGCTAAGAGCTGAAACGAGAACGTGGTGGTAAGGACAGCCGATGCTCTCCAAACAGTTTGAATGCTGACAAAATTCAGGGGTTTATACTCATTAGAAACGTAAGACTCCAGATTACTCAACCCTCCCTCAGACTACTAACTTGAAGAAAGCGAAATGTCTTTCTCGATGGGCAGACCTGACACATTAGGAGCTGACCTCTACCACAACCGACAATTTCCAATTATTGGTGAAACAGAAAACGAGTACTCATCTAGCTCAGACCTCGTGGATCCTCCGTCTTGCGCCATCATCAAATCGATGGTGGACTACTCAAAAGTCATCAGAAGCATCTGCTTGGGAATCTACTTGCCAGAGACGACGGTTCCGAGAACGGTTACCCTGGCGCACCAGATCGATCAAGACTTGCAAAAGTGGGTTGAGAGCCTTCCGGAGCCGATTCGGCCGACAGGGACGGTTCAGCCGCGTTCACTGAAGAGCGCCAAGGAGGCTCAATGGATGAAGAGGCAACGGCTCGTCTTGACTATGCGTAAGCTGTCCGCCGTGTATCCTCAGACACAACGACCCGCTAATTGGTGTGCCAGGCTATCTCAACTTGAAGATTCTCCTCTTTGGCTCGATACTTCTCACGTCGTCTTCTGCGGAGCGTGCATCAATCCCGGGATCACACGAGGGCATTCAGACGTGTCTTGAATCTGCCAAGCAAACGATTGAAATCATCTACCAGACTTATCAACATCATGATTTCTTCCGCACATGGTACGAGTTCACTGATTACGAACTTCGCTCGGACACCTGACTGACATCAATCATAGGTTCTACAACACAACATACACGGTGTTTGCGGCTTCGATGATTTTGGTGTATGTCACTCAAGAGGCTGTAGAGTCAGAACTGCAACCCCTTCTTAAACTCGTCGGCATGGCCATAGAAATTCTCGAGACCATGGACGAGTGCGTAGTGGCCTTGAGATCGGCCAAGCTTCTGCATAAAGCTATTGAGAAGGCCGAGAAGAAGTTCTCGGCATCAACACCGTCCGCGGCTATGATACCAGCCATGCCACCCGCGGATGCAATGTTGCAACTGAACCATTATTGGGGCCCCTTGAACATCCTCGACAATGAGATGGACTTTGGGTTTGCGATGCAGTTTGCGGATTTCGAGGGAACGAATTCGCTGTTCATGGCGTTGGATGATCAAAGAACCATGTAAAAGAATCAAGGAATATGACTTAATCATGAACCTGATTGCGGGATCCAGTTCATGTTCTCAATTTCCTTCCCAGTCGTCGTAACCCTGTGCCCAATGAAGGGAAAGATGTACGACGGTCGCCGTCTCAGACTCTGATGTTTGTCAACAAACAATGCCGACACAAGTGCAATAACTGCCGTGAGGCGTAGGAACGCGGACACGTCTTCGTCTTTAAGTAGTAACTGGCCCGCTCGGAGATTCCTACGATGCTGGACATCCGAATCATGCCCCAAAAACAGCAGCAACCGGCGGAAAAGCCGAAGCGGGGGCGGGATGTGGGGGCCTTTGCTGATGAGATCTCATGCGGGGAAGTTCCGGGGTCGGAATGTCGGAGGCATCGGGGGGCTGTGGCCCCGACTGGTGCATCGTCACATGGGGTAGCTAGCTGGAAGCTCCGATTTCACGATGTTTTGGTGGCGGGACAAAACATTGCAATTTGCAAACTTCATCTTGTTAAAGATCCAAGTGTCGTCCGTCTTGAGAAGTCCAGCCGTCACGAACAGAAACATAACCACAACTACAATCATAACGTTTACACGCCTGCATTGAACCCCTCCAACTTCAATTCTCCAAATTTTCCACATTTTCTCCAAAATCACGATGGGGTCGCAAGTTGACGAGAGGGACTTCACAGCCCTCCTCTCCGAACTGACGTTGGAAGAGAAGGTCGCGCTTCTCTCTGGACGTGACTTCTCCACAGCAGCAGGTGTTGCGCGCCTCAACATCCCTCCCATCAGAGTGAGCATAATCTCATGACGTCTCAAAACGTGTCAAGAGACGGCAACTGACCATTTCACTTCCAGGTCGCAGACTCCATTGCTGGAGTTCGCCCGTCAGGAATCACAGCCGACCTTACGACCGCATGCTTCCCCAACACGGCCTGCCTGGGCTCAACATGGGATGCCGAGCTTCTGGGCCGCATGGGTGAGGAGATCGCCAACCAGGCCCGTCTCAAGAGCGCGCAAATGGTCCTGAGCCCGACAATCAACATCCACCGCGATCCTCGCGCCGGACGCAATTTCGAATGCTTCAGCGAAGACCCCCTGCTTTCTGGCCAGCTTGCTGGCGCGATCACTAACGGCATTCAGAAGCATGGATTCGGATGTTGCCCAAAGCATTTCGTGTGTAACGATTCAGAGACGCTGAGGCACTTTTACGACGTGCAGGCGTCTATCGATAGCCGTGGGCTGAGGGAGGTCTATCTCGCGGCGTGGCAACATTTGCTGAGAACGTCGAATCCGGCTGGCATCATGACTGCGTATGTTTTCTCTTCTCCTCTCTACGAAAATCTAAACAACGCTAACAGCAAGTGCGTGACAGGTACAACAAGGTCGACGGCACATTTTGCAGCGAACACGAGCCATTAATCGAGCGGGTCCTGCGCAAAGAATGGGGTTTCGACGGAATGGTCATGAGCGACTGGTTCGCCGTGCACGACGTGGTTGCGCCGGTCAAGGCTGGTCTGGACCTTGAGATGCCTTTCCCGGTGTTTAGAGGCGGGCGGCTGGTCGAGGCCGTCAAGTCTGGCAAGGTGTCTGAAGCAGAGATCGACGCCAGAGCTCTCAAGATGCTGGAGCTTCGAAACCGCACGAGAACAGTTCACGGTGAACGACCGGAGAGGTCTGAGATAACCGACGAGACCAACCAAATCGCGCGGGAGCTTGCGGCAAGCGGTATCGTTCTTCTGAAGAATAGCGCCGAAGCTCTTCCCTTGGATTCATCAAAGACGAACAAGGTCGCCTTGATTGGAGAGTATGCTGGTGCGCCTGTTGTCACTGGCGGAGGCAGTGCTTCGTGCACGCCGCAATACCGACACTCTCCTCTCGAGCTGCTGAAGAAGGCCTTCTCCGACGAGAAGGTGCAGTATGCCGCTGGTGTGCGAACGAGGCGCGTTATTCCATTTGCGCCTGCATCAAAGCTTACCGCGCAAGACGGGCGTCACGGCATCGATGTCAAGTACTTCAACGATGACACTCCAGAGCCAATCTTGACGGAGTTCCAGGAGAAGGCAGATGTCTGGATGTTAGGCGAGTTCAAGGCTGGTCTCAAGGTTCCGGGATCCCGCTTCGAGATCACCACCAAGTTGACTCCGGAGAGCACCGGAGAGCACACGCTTGCGGTCCGAACTACCGGAGAGTTCTCCCTAACCGTGGATGGCAAGGAGGTTCTTTCCGGGCCGCAGAACAACATCGCCACGGAGCAGTTCATCTTCAACCACATCAAGCTCGAGACACGCTTGCAACTTGCCATGAACGCGGGGCAAGCCTACGACATCAAGCTCAGTATGAAGTCGCGGGACGCGCTAGTGAGAGGCGAGCCCACCCCCTACGCCGCATCCCTTTGCTTTGAGGAGTACCGCTCCGACGAGGCTGGCATCGCCGAGGCAGTCGAGCTCGCGAAGGCATCAGACGTCAGCATCGTCTACGCCGGCCGCAACGAGCAGTACGAGTCCGAGGGCTACGACTTGGAGGACATCCGCATGCCGGAGAACCAGGCAGCGCTGATCAAGGCCGTGGCCGCCGCGTCCAAGAAGACCGTCCTCGTCCTGCACTGCGGCAACCCCATCGACGTCAGCGCCGTGGTCGACGACGTCGACGCCATCCTGCTCGCACATTTCCCCGGACAGGAGGGCGCGCAGGCGACGGCGGACATCTTGACAGGCAAGACGAACCCCAGCGGACGCCTCGCGACCACGTGGTTCAAGACGTTGGAGGACGTGCCCAGCTTCGGCGACTTCCCGGCTACCAAGACCGAGGACGGCAGCATTGCGCTGAAGTACGCGGAGGGCCCGGGTGTGGGTTACCGGCACGCTAACGCGGCAACACGGGCGCGGTGGGCTTTCGGCTACGGCTTGTCGTACACGTCGTTCGCGTACTCGGACCTGGACGCGACCGTCTCGGAGGAGTCGGGTGTAGCCAAGTTGAAGGCGACTGTCAAGGTCACCAACACTGGCTCCCGCGCAGGCAAGGAGGTGGTCCAGCTGTTCGTTAGTCCAGCAAAGGAGACCTCCGTCTGGAGACCCGAGCGCGAGTTGAAGGCTTTCACGAAGGTGACTCTGCAACCGGGAGAGTCGAAGGTGACGACGTTGGAGGTTGATTTGAAAATCGCCTGCAGCTACTGGGACGAGGCGCAGAAGGCTTGGAGATTGGAAAAGGGTGTCTATGGAGTGCTTGTTGGAGATCGCCGAACCGAGATCTCGGTTGCGGCGGAATCGGTCTGGAACGGGTTGTAAAAGGGACAATGGATAGAAAATTCGCCTCCTATTCTAGACTTCGTTCGGGCTGGGTGGCATACTTGGCGACTGGAATCATCATGCTTTTCAATTATTACCTATCAAGTTAGTAGAAATTACATGAGTTGACGACACTTTACTGCTCGTCTTCTTCGCTCTTGTCACCGTTCTGGGGCGGGAGTTTCTCCATTGCCGTGTTAGTAGCTGACTAGAACCGATCCGAGACATTGAACGCTAGGTGGCTCAAGCCACAATATTTCAGTGTCTAGACCTCTACATTCAAGACATTACCCCGGGGATGAAGAGGCTAATTCAACAATCTCCCTGGCGTAAGGATCAAAGTGCCATCAAAGTGACATATCCTGGCGGACTTTGTGGATAAGACTGCGTCTATCACGAATGGAAATTTGTGGTATTTCAGCTTAGGCCTCGTTTGCAGCCTCACCCTGCGCATCCTCTTCAGATATTGGGTCATCGTCCGGTGATCAGAACACTTCCGTCCTCTTTTCCGTGTAGGTGGGTGAGGTGCGGGACGAATGACCTCCAAGTGCTAGGGGTGCGGATGGACCTTCTCTTTCAACCTTGTAAGACAAGCTCTCTCTGATTCGGTCCGCATTCGGGGAACACCTCTCTCGGGGAAGACACTTCAACTTTGATAGATCAGGCGGTGGGGTTGGAGCATCTGGCCCGCGCTCGTTGACATCACTTCAACGAAATCAACTTTTCTCTTGTGTCAAGGCCGCAGTCAAAATCACGGGTTCCTCCCTCAGACAATGTCTTCACGCGATGGGCCTAGTCTCAAAGCATACACGCCACCAAAGCAAGCCACCGGCTCGTCAAAACATAAGCGCTGATCCCAGTCCCCAGCTTAGTTTCCATGTCTGAGACCTCTCCCATTTTCGGCTGACAAGCCCGAAATGCATGCCAGCCACGCTTCTCTAGCTCGTGCGCGCGCCCTCACCCCCTCACGGATCCCACCTGGTTGGGTGGGAAGACAGAGAGCTGGGGCCAATGTTTTGAGGTTGTGAAGCTTAAGCAATACGGGAGTCAAAACTTATGCAGCCAATCGCCCAATGACACTGTTGTTTTATCGAACAAGGCAGGTCACTCCGGATGATCTGCACGCCCGTTCGAATACTCGAGGAGCATGGGCCACGCTGCCCAGGTGGACGTATTGTCCATGCCTCCAGGCCCGTGATATCCTTGCGATGTGAGGTTTTACAGCGAAGCTTAACAGCTTCGTCTGCGTGGTCGTGACTCCTGTTTCCCGCCCATCCCTGGCGACGGACAGGGAACAATCCCTTCGGCTTTATCCTCACGAAACGGAGTTTAGTTCCCTTCCCACACCACTGCAGCCTCTCCAGAGGCTCTTCAGCTCGTCAGCTTGGTTTCGTGTTACCGGCCAACAGCGAATCCTCTTGGCCTCTTTGGGCCTTGGGACGGGGCGTCGACAGGGTGTCTTGGCCAAGATGGTGTAGCGCCTCCGCGCCTCCGCGCCTTGCATTCCTCTTAGCACCTTAGGGCTGGATGATGCCGGGGTACCGCTTTGACTCTAACGACACTCTAAATCACTCGCTAGCTTGTCCTTCATGCTTGGGTCTGATATTTTGCCCAGGTCAGTCCGCAGCATCTTCAACCCTCTTCTTCTCCTCCCATCCAACGGCGACCCGCACTCCGACGCTGGCTCCCGCACAAGAGCCACGGCCAGACATCAACACCGCCCCACCGACGACTGTCCACAGACGATGTGAACGGGAACAGGCGACGTCGTGAGCGAAAATTCTAGTCTGTGACGGCTTGATACTCGATGATTACAAGGCATTTTGGCGACGGCCAAGGCTCGGTCGCGAAACGATATGGACATGGAGTCTTTCAACGTCGACGTCATTGAGGATGGCGGCCCGCCCGGTTTGGCGCCCCAGGGGCAGTCTGTCATATCATGTGCAGTGGCATCGGCGGTCCTTTCGGGGATCATTGTCGGATTGAGATTCTATGCGCGTCTATCGCCGGCGCGACTTTTGGGGTGGGAGGATGCGTGGATTTTGATCGCATGGGTACGCTGAAATCATCATCAAAGACATCGTCACATCAGGAGCCCATGGCAGCTCACTCAAGCTCTGAGGCATGCGGTGTTCACTGAGGGGGAATTGCGAGACTGACTGCGATATGGAACAGATTTGGTCCGCCTGCCAATCCGCCGGGATGGCAATTCGTAAGAAACTTGAGCATCCTCTTCCTCTGTTGTTGCTGATTATCTGATAGAAGCAATCACTGGAATGGGCGAGCGATACGAGACACTGAGTGTGCACCAACAGCAGACTTTCTTCAAGGTAAGGAGAATTTAGTAGTCCAGTCCCATGAGTCGTGAAGTCGAGTCAAGCTGACAGTCATGAGTAGTGGTCATACATTACTATTATCTTCTACAACCTCGGACTGGCTTTTGTCAAGGTCTCTATACTGCTGCTGTACCTGCGGGTACTACGAGACCTAAACTATCGCAAAGCGTGCTATATTGCACTATCTCTCGTCGCAGTAGTCTCCACATGGACGGTCTTCTCATCGGTTCTGTTTTGTTTACCCTTTGAGAAGAATTGGAAACCAAAGTCTGTTCAGTTCTGTTCACCTGAAGTGCGGTTGTTCTAGTGCTGACCAGGACCACAGTGCACCTGGGAAATGTCTTGACAGGGGGGCTACCTGGTTCGCCAACGCCGCCATCAACATTTTTACCGATTTTGTGATCCTCATCCTCCCTTTGCCGATTCTTCCAAAGATAAAACAGCCCCGCCAGCAAAAGATCAGTTTATATCTGATCTTTGCACTCGGGTTCTTGTAAGTGCCCAGTAACGCTGTCATAAGTACCGAGCGTGTGATCTGACTTGCAATGTTTAGTGTTTGTGTCGTGTCAATATTGCGCATCCCGTCACTGGCATCGGCTTTCAGGTCGACCGATCCGACATTTGACAGTCCGGGCATAGCCGAATGGTCCATCATTGAGTTGAACACGGCCATCGTCTGCGCTTGCCTAATCACATTAAAACCCTTGGCAAGACGCTTCTTCCCTCGACTTCTGGGATCGACAAATCACGATGTTGGGAAGGAACGTGGGCCGGGCTCGGGGCCGGGAGACGGTGTCCCTGCTACAGTCGGGTCGAAGGAATCGGGGCACAAAGCGAACCATGCAAGGCACGTCTCGGATGGGAGTGAAATACAGTTGAACCACGACACTTTTGGAGCGAGATCTACAAACCACACCCATGGCTCGCGCCATAGCATTGTAGAGTCGTCGGATTTGGAGTTGGGGCTGAAGTCGATACCTTTGGACGACGATCCAATGCCGATGAAATAATACCAGATTTGATACCAGCTAGCGTAACGAGGAAGTCAGTTTCAATGTTTCATTTCAATCTCACGGAATTTCCATTCAGTCCATGAAACCACTGCTGCAAAAGCTTGTTGTCTATGAGGCCGAATGGACGTCGGTGCAGACTTTCCGCTTTGGGTAATCAAACATCGAACGAGGCGATTTTCGCCTGCAATATCAACGGTCACCAAAGTACGAGCTTGTAGTCACATTATGACGTCTTATTAGCCTTAAGCAGATTGACCGAGGAGCTATCCGTCCCCCAGCCCCTGTCACGATCCCTGGGCCCCGATGCCGAAGAGTTCGTATTGCTCCTATCGCCCACGCTAGCCCCGTGTTTGCCATTAAACGGCCCTTGTTCCCCCATATTACTTCCCTTCAAACAGCCTCTCAAGGCGCAAGTTCGTCCGGCAATGCAACGCTAGTGGATCTTCCCGTGTTAAAAACAACGAGCCATCACAAATTGCATGATGCGCGCTGGACCTCATTGGGCAGGTGTCAAAAGCATCATGTCGTGCTTCTTGGCGACGAGATGGCATACTTCAACGGCGACTTTCGCGCTCTCGCGATGGCGGGGAGTTTGGCTCGCCATCTGCCTTGCACACGCTCACATTCGTTTTCGTTAACTACGCATCGACAATCATGCGCGCGGAAGCAGCTCTCCTCGCGGCGCTGCTCAGCACAGCTCAGGCGCTGCATCAATTCGCGCCTCGCTCACTCAACGAGAGCGCTGCTAGCGATGCGACGCCCAAGAGGTACATCGTCGAGCTGAAGTCACGCGCACACGGATCGCGCGTGGCTTCCAAGGCTTCCTCTGGGCTGCCCGGGCTTCGAGTCGTGAAGCAGTTTGACTCAGACATCTTCCCCGGAATCGCCGTCGAATGTGACCACGGCTGCACGGCCGAGTCTATCCAGAGCTTGCTTGACGGGTCCGATGATGAGTCCGTTGTCGCTTCCGTCTACAAGTCTCAGATGTTGCAGCTGCTCCCGACCGTGGAAGGCGAGTCATTCAGCGACGATGCGGCTGCGGTGAAATACTCGGTTCATGGCCTCACTGGCGTTCAGAACCTACACGAGGATGGAATCCTGGGCGAAGGCGCCGTTGTGGCAATCGTTGACAGCGGTGTCCAGTACACCCACCCGGCTGTGAGTAGTAAACTTGCCGTTGTTCCCGACATGATTTGAGCTGATTTATAATCTTTCCGCCAGCTCGGAGGAGGCATCGGCGATAACTATACGGTGATCGGTGGTTATGATCTTGTCGGTGATGGTACGTGATTAACCCCCGGAGCCGGTGGGTTTGCGTGAAAGACGCTGATTTAGAGTTGGCAGCGTGGCCTGACGCGCCCGCACAGCCCGACAACGATCCCATGGATAGATACGGACACGGCACGCACGTGGCCGGCATCATCGCGGGAAAGAGTGACCAGTTGAGTCTTCGCCTAGAGTTATGCTAAAATTTAAACTAACTTGCCAAGATTTGTCGGGGTTGCGCCCAAGTCCAAGCTTCTCTCGTTCAAAGTCTTTGGCAGCAGCGGCTACTCGAATGAGGAGACTGTCATTGAAGGCTTCTTGAAGGCTTTCGACTCAGGGGTAAGTTGAAGACTACAATTACGCGTTGACTTGTGACTAAGAGTCATTCTAGGCCGATATCATCAGTGCCAGCGTTGGCGAAGGTAGCGGCTTCACCAACAATGCCCTCGCTGTGGTGGCATCCAGGATTGTCGATAATGGCGTCGTCGTCGTTTTCGCTGCCGGCAACTCAGGACAGGATGGTCCCTTCTCTATGGCCAACGGCGCGTCAGGAAAGCATGTCTTAACTGTTGCCTCAAGCGATCCTGGTGTTTTCCCCGCGCAGGCCTTTTCCGCCAACTTCAACCTCGATGGAAACTCCAATAATACCGAAGTCGCTTACGTCCCTGGCTCAGGGTTCTTCCCGGACACCATCGTCGATTGGCCGGTGAAGCCGATCACCTTGAACGCTTCGGTCGAGAACGATGCTTGCCAGCCTTTGCCCGCGGACACCCCTCAGCTGAACGAGACTGTAGTTCTTGTGAGACTTGGGGGCTGCACCGTGACAACTAAGCATACCAATGTGGCTGCCTTTGGCGCGCAGTATATTCTCTTCTACAACAACCTGGACATCTACCAGAGTCCCGTCAGCTCCAACCGCGTTGGTCTTACTGGGGCCATTGAGGGCAACGCTGGTGAGGCAATCATCTCCACCATTCTCGCCGGCGGCAACGTAACAGCTTCGTTCAACATTGACACCGCCCACTATGTCGGTATTCGGAACGCCGGCGGTGGGCGGCCCGCTCTATACTCCTCCTGGGGTAGCACCTATGATCTTGCTCTCAAACCCGATGTGTCCGGCCCGGGCACCAAGATTCTCAGTACCTACCCGACAAATGAGTATCGTGTGCTCAGTGGCACAAGCATGGCAACGCCTTACTTATCCGGCATTGCTGCTTTGTGGGTTGGCAAGTTTGGCGGAAGGTCAGCGCATAAAGATGACCCTGAATGGGCGAAGCGCCTCATTGCTCGCATCACAACCACCGCCCGCGCCGTTCCCTGGGCGGACTGGGCTACCAGCGTCACTGACTATGGTTTCTGGGCTCCAACTACCCAAGTGGGAGGTGGTCTTGTTGACGCCGAGAGGGTTCTGGGCTACACAACCGAGCTTAGCTTTGACGGCCGCAAATTTGAGCTTAACGACACTGTCCACTTCACCGGCACGCACTCTGTTGATATCACGAACCAGGGCTCGAACTCGGTCACCTACAAGTTCTCACTTCAGGATGCGGGTGGCTATGAGTCCTATGAGCCTTCAGTCCCTGGCCAGCAACAGACTTTTATTCCAGCCATCCCACTGTATGCGGAGGTCAGCCCTGTCAAAATGACTCCTGAGGTTGCTTTGCCTGCGGACGTTGCTGTTGGCCCGGGAGAGACAAAGACTGTGGAGTGAGTTTCCGCGATGCACTTCATCCCTTACAGACGGCTTACAAGATGGGCAGATTTACTTTCAAGGCCCCCGAGGGTGTCAATGCCACCAAGCTTCCAGTGTACAGCGGAAAGGTGCTCGTGAGTGGCAGCAATGGCGAAGAACTGGGTGTCCCGTACTTCGGTAATTGTCTCCCAATCTGATAGAAGGCGTGTAACTGATGACCCGACAGGTGTTGCTACCGACTTGAGACAGACCATCGAAAGTGTGTGGGCCTACGGTTGGAGCCTTCCAAACTTGGTTTCAGGAGTCAACAGCATCAGGCTTGAGCAAAAGTCCAAGTGAGATAAGCCACAATGTTTTACTCTGAAGGCAAAGCTGACGCTTGACAGCTTCACATTCAACCTTACACGAGAGGCGCAGGATTTCCCCAAGCTGACCACGCGCTTACTCTGGGGAACCGAGGAGCTCCGTTGGGACGTGAGTCAGCCAAGAGTCTAGGAACTTCACGAGATTCCCCAAACTAATTATCGTCATATAGATTTTCCACGGCAACTACTCCGAGGCCGAATGGTCATATCCCCCCGTCGTTGGCGAGAAGGGCTTTGTAGGCTCAGCCACTAGCTGGAATGGCACCGCAAGCTCTTCCTGGTTCATCCCCGGCGAAGATAGCGAAGATGACATCTTCTCTTTCCCCCTTTACACCCAACCGGGAGGCCGGAACGGTATTTACTACTGGCTTGGAAGATACGCCAATGGATCCCAGGTGCTGCCTGGATCATACACGTGAGTTCCGCTAGTTACTCGCCATCTGGATATGAGAGGCTGACCGTACAAGCTTTCGAATCGCGGCTCTGCGGCCTTTTGGTGTACGCGAGGTCGCTGGGGACTGGGACATCTGGAAGACCCCCGCCATCACTGTGTTGCCAGGAAGCACATTTGAGGGCTAGGTTGGCTATCAATTCAACGACATTTTCATTGTGTAGACTCAAGTTGATCAAGGATTACCGTTCTCATAATCGTCAACCCGTGTGGTACTATGTCGGGTAAAAACTAGCGCAGATCAGAACAGAGGTAGTCAATGGCCACATTACCGCCACAGGCCAACATTAACCATTGAAGACGTGCAGCCCAACATGAATCATACCCATCTACATCGTACGATCTGGGTACTCGACCCGTATTGACCCCAGAGTTAGGCTATCGCTTCCTTCAGTCAGTCAGCATGGCAATTCGGCAAGCTGTAGCCAACTCATTGGTGAATGCCTTTCGTAGTGAACTTGTGCATGTTTGTCGAACACAACTTACTTGGAAATAAGATGTGACTATTTTAAAACGATGGCTGAGCACTTCTAAAAAGTTTCGCCCTTTTCATCGTCAACAGTGCTATGTGCCGTCAGACAGTTTTCCTTTCGTCCATGACATCCTGGCTGGGCTCCAATCGACAAGACACGACTTCTCGGCGAGCTCTCTCGGGTTGGTCGCCGCGCAAAACGCTTAATCATTCGATTGTCAGAATTGGACCCGCCGCTATGACACCCTGACGCCCTGTCGAGAGCGAATAGAGTGCTTACTTCGGGGAAGGGAACGGGAATCATCCGTGAGACGACAAGTAACCAGAGAGAACAAGGTGAGCCCGAGTCAGCTGGATGCAGGGAAGCGCAGGGGTTCAGTCTTCGAATGGACACCACGATCCCAGTCCGTGCTGGACTGTCAAAATGGGTCCCGGACGGAGGGGTGGATCACGGATCGACGAGGGAACCCGTTTCAAAATGCGCGGCTCTACGGCATTTGGATCGTTGCAGAGGATGATTTTCTTGGGTTGCCGAAATTAGCTGCAGGTGCGCAATCCTTCAGCGCCAATCTCCCCAGTTCTCTAGTGCTCAAGGAAGCTTGGATGGCGTTTATCGGACCATGATAGACGAGATCTTTCCGGATCGGTGCGGGTTGGGTCACGGTTCACGGTGACAGGTCCTCTGGGTAGTGGATAGTAATTAGCTTGTACATTCAATCGTTTCCTAAATTACATGTGTTTTCGAATAGGTATACAGAACATTCCGAAGCGCCCGCACTTTTCCCTCCCATAGCCAACCTGGGTATTCGCATCCTTTTAGTCCCTGCCTACTGATAAACATCTCATAATGTTGTTGCCTCCAACCGCTTAATCCATCCTAGTGGAAATCCTGCCGTGAAGACCTGTGAGGCATGTGATACATGTGCGGCTCAGGGGTCGCCCTTGAGATTTTGTACTCCGTAGTCACCACGATCTTGTTCTGCTCGTGCTTCCTCGACCTCATCGCGTTGTTCCCGCTATCCGCCGCCACCTCGGCGTCGGTGTGAGGCAGATAGGGGCTGGATGGCTGCTTGCCCGAGTCGATCGAGGCTTCCTCGCCCCCCGAACTAGCGCCCTTCTCAGCCGAGTTGGCGACAATATGCTCCTTCGACCCCCACTTCGTCTCGTCCGGGATGGAAAGAGGATGGCTGGACGGCCCTTTCTTCCCAGGGTAGCTGCCCAGTCTGTAGCCCTGGCTGTCGCCCATAGCACCACTCTTGTTGGTGCTTGCGTTGCGGCTCTTGTCGATGACGGTCTTGAAGAGGGGGTACACCATCGGCATGTTGGTCAACACGACGGACACGAAAGACTCTCTGACGGACCAGTAGCCCGACTGCGCGCTGTCTGTTTCACCGGCGGTGAGGATGGAGACGCAACGCAGAATGCCGAAGGCCATTTCGAGGAAACCACCGCTGAACATGATCAACAAGGTGACCTTCTTTCTCCACGGCAGGTGGGACTTCCACACCATGGGAAGCGGAATCGCCATGAGGTAAAAGTCGGTAGCCGTGTTCATGGCCATGACGAAGATTGTTTGGATAAAGGAGATAGCTGGCATGCACTGGTCTGTTGACGGTTAGTCAACGTAGGACATCGTGTGAGTTGTTCAACTTACTGCCAGGGTTGGGATTGATCTGCCATTGATGATCAAAGGGAATACACTTGAAGAAAGCGACAAGTAGACAGGAGACAAAGGTAACGGGCATGATGATATAGGCCCAGAAGATGATGCGCCTCATCTTATGCACGCCGTCGCTAGAATCGAGATTAGCTCAGAGCTGCGAAGCACATCATAGGCGGTGCTCACGTCAGACGGGAGTAGTAGATAACCCAGCATCCTTTCAACAGCCACAACAGAGTTGTGTAAAGTAACAGTCCAATGACATGTGTCTTTGAGCCATTTACTCGCAACATGTACTCTTCCGACGTTGAACTTAGCGCGGCTCGTTCTTCATCTGTCATGCCATTGTTGGCGACTCCTTTCCAATATGCAACAACAAAATATGCCGCAACGGACTCGGCGGTATACACCAACTGCAAGCACAGCAGTTAGTCATGCGATAAGTCAGAAGGATCGGGTGTCAACTTACAACTGCCACTCCCATCAGGAAGTCGTCCCACGCAAACTTCCTCCATCCCAGAGTCGAGAGCCGGCTGTAGTACCGAAGCCCAACAACAAGGTACGCGGCACCTTGCAGGCCCCAGACCTCTCGGATGAACGCGTTCGCAGCTTCCGCAGACATGTTTTTTGTTCCCTTGCCAGCTTCGGCCCGCGCACCAGCAACGTATCGGACGAGGGGGAAGGGGGTGATAGACAAGCAAGAGTTGGGAAAGTTGGGTCCCCGCGGCTAAACCGAAAGAAAGTTGAGATTGATCGGGGGCGGACGACAAAATAGTAAATAATAAGCACCGTCAACAAGAGAAGAGGAAGTAAGAAGGCTCTGAAGCGAAGAAGACGTAACCAGGTTTCGTTGCGACAAGGCGCCTGAATCGTTGATTCGTCGCTGTTTCCATCCATCCCTTTACCAGCCTTGTGCTTGTCCCTGAACCCGGTTCTCCTGGTTCAGTGTTCCCAAAAGGTTCACGACGTTAAGGGCCGTGAGGTGCCGATCGCAAATGAAGTTGCAGGGTATTACGAGAAGATGCGAGTCCGTTACGCTCGACTCAAAGGGCTTGGGATCAAGGGCCCAGGAGCGGCACTTCCGTCTGCGGTTCCCAAGGGCAAGGGGGGTCCTCAACTCCGCTTTCGATAGCAACGGTAGGAATCAGACCCATCGAGAAGTCCACACTAATACTACACGATGAGGACCAAACCGTCCGATCGAAGGTTTACCTCGGGGAACCGGAGGACGGGGCCTTCTGAGGAGTCGAGTTGATCTGGGCTGAAGAAAAAGCATTGCAAAGATCTGGACTTTCTGGAAACGAAAGGTGCGACTTGTGGCGCAACGCCACCGTGATATATCAACATCGAGAAACTGCGATTGGGTGTTGAGTAATCTGCTAGCTTCTGTCAGAGTGCATGTTTAGGACCGAGCCGTTGGGGGGGAGCACCTGCAGCATGTCATCGAGCTACGTATTACTGATATCTTCAACCCCGGTGGCTGGACCGGCAACCTCGACCACACCCAATACGGCTCCCCTGGCTTCTTTTCCCCTGCTGCTTTGCATGAAACGACATGTTATCACGACGTGAATGATGAGCCGCCGAACCGCGTCGAGCGCTTGGCCTTCCCTCGGGCTGCGGCCAGAGAAGAAGACTGGGTCGGCGTCGCTTCTGTCATTTCTCTGATGCAGCAGCCCAATGGAACCGTAGGAATGTCAACCTTGGCAGTACCGGTACCGCTGCACAGGATTCCTCGCCAAAGAACAAAACACGACCCCAGCCACTGGGACATTCGAGTACAGCATATCAATCCGTCGTAGTGTATGTAGCATCAAGGTTACGGTTCCTTCAGATGAAAGAGATCATCGCATCATAATCATGTCGAGGAAAACATGTGTGAACATTTCAGAGACGTCTCCGACTTTCATTGCGCGTTCGGATATTTTCCCCTTCGCAAAAACATGTCCGGTCGGATTTTACATATGACTCGAGTCAGGTTCAGTTCCAATAACGAAAATGAATCGCTGAGGTGCTCCAACAGGTAGTATCTTGGTGGAACCGCCAGGCAAACCCCCAAAGGCGCGCAGGAGGGCGCAGGACCTGCTGCAGATGATTTCTGCCCGGGGGCTCGTCCGTCCTCCACAGTGGAAAATGTCTGCCCAGGGGGGGATGGTGCAAGGGCCCGCGGGTTACTCCAGGAGCCCAGTTATTGAGGAGACAACAACACCTCTGCCGGCGAATGAGACTCTGGGACGGCATATACTTGCGCAATTAGGTCTCTATCGCAATGGGGCGCCGTTGCAGCATTGATCCATCGTCCCTTGCGGGCGGAGAAGGGAAGCTGCGGGCATCGAGGTTGAGAGTCTCCAATTCACGAGCTTGTCGTTCCTAGTGCCACGTCAACTGGCCATTCTGCAATCTGTACCGTTGCAACCGCCTTGACGAGCGTAACTGCCGCCGGTGGGATCCTCAGACGCATCGCACCGTTGTCCACAAATTACGGTTCGCAATGGCCCCGGTTTAAAAACGCCCGGCAGGGTGGGAGAAATTGCGAATCACTTGCTCCGTCACTGTGTGCACGTCGTAACAAGGGGCCGGGCCTGATGTGCCCAGTTGATTGATACGCCGAGAAGCTCGCAGGCCTCGCTTACAAAAACACAATCGCGGATTCGGAAACTCTGTTTAGAGACTGCAGTGTGCTTGTTGAAGAAAAAGAAAGCATACCAGTAACCAGTGTGTCGGTGGCGCACTACTGTCAGATATCAATCAACAAGCAAACCCGGAAATGCCGGGCTCAGGCCCCCGTGCTTCCCCGTCTCCTTAGTGCCGTGCTTCTCTCTCCAACCAGATGCTGTGTGCTCATGCCGGCAGCTCGTCACTCAGACTTCGCTTCCGCGGGGACAGACTCTTCCGGGCATCAATGTGATAACATAAACAACAGGTTAAAGGGATGAAGTTGGGCTTGAACGATCATTTCGGCCCTCGTCCGCTCAGAATCCAAGACCAAGACACGCCCCCACGCCCAACGGCGCGCCGTTTGAATTGAACATCCAACGGCGCCCCATATCAACGGACAACGGGCGCACGGACAAGCAGCCTGTGTTTCCATTTCGGTGATGGTCCCTCCCCGACTGCGTCCAAAAATGGTACAGATCAACGATGGCCCATGAACCGAGCCCTTGTCGGCGGGACGCTCCCGGACGCTGGACGGATGGTCACCATTCTCCACCGGGGAACAGAGAGAGCCCAGGGCCGGTAGGGTAGGGTCCTGGGTCGTGTCCAACACCCCGCAGTCTCGACACTCAGGTCGGCGGCCATCCCACCCTGAATCCATCCATCGGCGCAACCAGCCCAACCAACCCATACGTGTGTCCCTGTCCCATTGCGAAAGCGTCCTCATCGAACGTTGTGTGGGCACCAGGCCAAGACGAGCAGGCCCAAGGTGCTATCGAGGAACGAGTCAAGATGCTCGTATGCCCTCCCTCCCCTCGCAACCTTTGATAGCTTGTTGCGCGAACTTGTTTGTCTCCGTTGACTTCTCGCCGACCCTGAACGTTCGCACGCACAGCTCTCTCCGTCTCCCTTGCTTTCTTTTGACATCCTCCCACCCCAAACTCTAATCTTCTTCCCCTGACATCGCCAACCGGCTTTACAGACGCCCGAGAACGCTTTCCGGACGAAGGACATTTGACGAGATGGCGAGCGCACAGGTTCCCGAGAGCAATGTCGACGTGTAAGTTGTCATATTTCCCTCCCGCAAACTGGAAACAGAAGCACGTTTCATGAGAACCCGTTTACTGATCTTATTGCCCTCATCACAGGCTCATCATTGGCGCCGGCCCTGCGGGGTAAGTCTAGTCTCACGCAGTCGCGCTTGGTGGCGGCCATGCTTTCTTTTCAACGGTGGCGACGGGGAAGCTAACGATGAGGCGCCGGATAGGTTGATGGCTGCCGCGTGGATGGCGCACTGCGGTGTCAAGGCTCGCATCGTTGACAAGAGAAACACCAAGATCTTCTGCGGCCAGGCCGACGGCCTGCAATGTCGCAGTCTGGAGATCTTTGACTCGCTCGGCTTCGCAGACCGCGCGTGGAAGGAGGCCAACCATATGATTGAGGTATGAGAGTTACCAATGGTATTAGATGATGATTTGTCTCGCTAACCTTTCACACAGATCTGCATGTGGGTGCGTAGTCATTTCATCACTCTTCATAGCTGTTGATGCGATATGCTCATTTCCATGATAGAACCCCGGCAACGATGGCATCATCCGCCGCAGCGACAGAATCCCCGACACCATCGTCGGCCTCTCCCGCTTCCAGCAGATCGTCCTCCACCAGGGCCGCATCGAGCGCTTCTTCCTCGAGAACATCAAGAAGCACTCCAAGGGCGCCATCGAGGTCGAGCGCGGCGTGCTGCCCGAGTCCCTCACGATCGACGAGTCCAAGGTCGACGACGACGCCGCCTACCCCGTGACCGTCAAGCTCCGCCAGCTCAACGAGGAGGAGTCCACGCCGCCCCAGGCCGCCAACGCAAGCAAGGTCGCCGACGGCCTCTTCCGCAGCAACCTCGTCCAGAACGACGACGAGGACGACCTCATCCGCAAGAGCAAGGCCCGCGCGGGCGACAGCGAGATCGTGCACGCCAAGTACGTTATCGGCTGCGACGGCGCGCGCAGCTGGACGCGCAGGCAGCTGGGCTTCGAGCTCGACGGCGAGGCGACGGACTTCATCTGGGGTGTCATGGACATCATTCCCATCACCGACTTCCGTGAGTAACGTTTGCCGACGGTGTGACGTGGGTCTTACATGAGCGCTAATGTGGGATGGTAGCTGATATCCGCATGCGATGCGCCATTCACTCTGCGGAGAACGGCAGTTTGATGGTCATTCCCAGAGAGAACAAGCTGGTCCGCCTGTACATCCAATTGAAGGAGATTAGCACCGATGTCTCAGGAAGAGCCGACCGCTCCAAGATCACCCCTGAAATCATCTTTGGAGCTGCTCAGAAGATCCTCAGCCCGTACAAGATCGAGTACGAGTACTGCGACTGGTGGACTGCTTACCAGGTATGTCGCCGATCGATGATTGAAGCGTCAAGTTTGAATTTAACTAACACACTTCTCTAGATTGGCCAGCGTGTCGGCACCACCTTCGACGCGCACAGCCGCGTCTTCCTCGCCGGTGATGCCGTCCACACTCACTCCCCCAAGGCCGGCCAGGGCATGAACGTCTCCATGCAGGATACTTACAACCTCGGTTGGAAGGTCGCTCTGGCTGCCAAGGGTATCGCCAAGCGCAGCATCCTCAGCACGTACCAGAGTGAGCGTCGCCGTGTTGCCCAGGATCTGATCGAGTTCGACCACCGCTTCTCCCGTCTCTTCTCCGGCCGCCCCGCCAAGGACGTCATGGACGCCGAGGGCGTCAGCATGGAGGTCTTCAAGGACGCCTTCCTCAAGGGCAACCTGTTCGCCTCGGGTCTTTCGGTCAACTACGGCCCCAGCAACCTCGTGATCAAGGCCGGTGATGCGCTGGAGCAGGGTGACGGCAGCAAGGCCGTCGAGGCCACCGCCGTCGCTGTTACTACCGAGGAGTTTGAGAAGAAGCAGGCCCTCGCCAGCGGCTTGCCCGTCGGAATGCGAT